CACATTAGAAATAAAAGTGGTGCCAGCCTTCTACTGAGCTTGTCCTGGTCATTCCTCTCCGGGCAGTGCATAGTGGGAAGGCGGGGGTAGGTAGAAAAGGGACTTACGCCATGTCAGGTCTTCTTCCATCCATCACACCCAGGAGTGAGAGACCCTTTGCAGCTCAAGGGCCACACTTCCCTCTGAGCCCCTCCCCAGGGGCCATATGCCAGCAGTGGGCGGGGCTAAGGCAAAAGTGGGCAGGGCAGCAAAATAAGTCCTGCCCTCTGCTGTTCCAGAGGGTCAGACTCAAACCAATGGATTCAAATGACAAGAAAGGAGATGACGACTAAACATTGGGAAGAGTTTTCTGGCAGAAAGAGCTGTTTGGCAGTGGAATGGATTCCCTTAGATGGTGGTGGCTCTAACCCTTCATTGGCGCTTTCTAGGCATTGTTTACCCCCTATGATTTAAGCCGTCTCTATTTTATCTGTAAGCTACCTTGAGTTCCTGTCTTGGAAAAAGGAGGGACATAAATAAATATAATAATATCTACTCATTTTGAATGGGCCACTGGAAGGGCACTTTGGATGGAGGAACACACAGATGGTCTCTTTCCCCTGACACAACTCCATTTTTAACAATAACAATAATAGTTTTATTATTTATACCTCACCCATCTGGCTGGGTTGCCCCAGCCAATCCGTTTTTTTGATGGGATAAATTTCGACTCTTCGTTCCATCTCCTTATTGTTTACAAATATACAGTATATTTATATCCACCCATTTACTGCTCCTTGTTTCTGCTCTGCTAGTCGTTTTTTTGGTACCTTCATCATCGCTTATTGATTGATTGCATTTACCGTACTTTTCTGTGTATAAGAATAGGTTTTTTTCTTTAGAAATTATGATAAAAAGTGGGGGTTGTATTGTACATGGACAGTGCATAGGGTGGACGTTTGATTGGTTGCTGCCACGGCTGTCAGCGGCTATTGGGCTTGTTATTGGTTGCTGCACCAAGGGCTGGTGTTAATTGGCTGACGCTGTGGCACTAGGGCGGGCGATTGGCACCTTCTGCCGGCGAGGGGACAGACGAAAGGCTGATTTTGTGCCGCTTGCGGGTGAGCAATTTTTGGCAACCCCCCCCCAAAAAAGCAACAACAAATCTGAGCCATCTCTCCCCATTTTCTTAAATTTGAGTCCCCCAAAATAGGGGACGTCTTATACACGGGGGCAACTTATACACGGGAAAGTATGGTATTTCCTGCCCTTCCTCAGCAAGGAGCACAGGGCAGCATTCCCCTTTGGGCTAGGCTCTGGGCTATTTTACCTGATTCAGAGTAAGCTGCAGGTGGCGTTGTGGTGTGGCAGAGCCCACCTCACTCCTGGTTGCCTGAGTTGCTGCTAAATACCAGGACAGAGGACAGGTGCAAGGAGGGAGCAAGTTCAGCATGGTGCAAACACGCTGGCAGAGCTGTCCCTTGGCTCCTGCCCCTGCATCGCACCATGCTGGCCTTGCCCCCAGCTCACCCCTTCCCCTCTCCATTCTGACATGCCTCAGCAATGCAGGCGACCAAAGGGCAAGTCATCGCTGCCCCTCCATCCCACCATTCATGACAACCGGCTCCTGTCTTAACACTTTCCCACTTGCATGGCGAGTTCCCGACCCCCCCAGGTCGAAATAATGACACATGACACAATTATTAAGGTTAATGGGCTAAAAAAGGCCACAACTTTATTGGTTACAGGTGAAGAGTGGTATTGACTTAGGCATTGGTCCTAACTGACTATATCCGACTCCAGCCCTTCTGCTTGAAGTCCGGGAAGGGTTAACCACCAGTAGGGGGAGTCCTGCTGATGCACATCAACTAGGAACTCCCCCGGGGTCACCGCTAGGCCCTAACCTCCTTAGGCTTCGGACAGGGCCACGCCCCCGGAATCTATTAACAAACTACCCTTCAATATGTGGGCGCTACCTCCCCTCTTCCATCTACCAATGCCTAACTGCCAATACCCAGAAAGTTGTGGTGATTTGCTACGAGGTAGGCAAAAACCAAGTGGCTGGTGCCAATTTGCCAAGTGGAAAAATTCCTACCAGGCCCCTCAACGGCAACCAACCAAGGTCCATAGCAAGGTCAAGGAACAAAAACCTCATAGGGCGGGAGGGTGGGAAACAGGAACAGCTGGTGGGCGGCAAAGAGGGAGATCCCTGGCCACGTCCTGCCTTAAATAGGGCAGGCCACGCCCCCAGAGCCAGCCAATTGGCCAACCAGGGGGTGATGCAACCGGGAATCCCCCCAATAGCACGGGGCTGGCTTCGCCCGTCACGCACGTGGAGGGGATGTGAAGCCCGCAACCCCACCTCCTCCTTAGGCGGAAGTGGTTTTGCTGTTCTCTTTTCCCTGGAATTCCTCCTTCTGACCCAACTCAGGATGGGGGCAGAAATTTAATACAGTTTGCGTTTAAAGGTGAACCTGGCCTATTTGCATTCCTCTCCCCCCGAAAATAAAGCACACACAGAAACCAAGCTGCACTTTGAAATTCACACTTCTCTGAATTTTGCAGTGCAGGTTTCCAGTGAATGTATGTACATGAAAAATGCACATCCTGGAGCCAAGCATGCATAGAAAATGTGTGCCTTGGTGAAAATAACATGCAAGTGTTGGATTACATGCTTTGCGAAGATGTGTACATTAGGCAAAATTTCACACAAACTTAGGAGAAATTCACAGAGACGAATTTTCACAAGGACTTTACGAAATAAAAGAATCTCAAACTGATGTACAAAATGTGAAGAATGGAAGGCTGCGGAAATGAGGAAGAAAGAGAAATGAAAATGGATAGATCTGCCTCTCACACCTTGTCACAGCCGGATGGGCAGGGTATAAATAATCATCATCATAATCATTATCATCACCATCAATCATCATCATCATCAATAATAATAATAATAATAATCACCACCATCATTGGCTTCCTTGGTCTCAGGACACCCCTTTCCCCGGCCTTTATTTCTAAGGCTAATGGTTGTTGGAATTTGGTGCAGTAGACCTGCAACTTACGTGTGATTTACTTAAGCGATTTCAACTTTGCACAGGCAGGAGACAAATAAAGAAATGGGGAGCTGGTGGGTGGGGGGAAGACAGTCAGAAGAGGCTGTCTGGGATCTCATGAGATCTTGCAAAGGCCCAAAAAGATCTTGTGCAGCCTTCCCAGAGCCCCGGAAGGCAAGGATAGTTAAATGGGATGTGTACATGTGTGGTTCCAGGGGTCTTCCTGCTTTTGCACGATTTTATGAATAATAACCCCACATGTAGGATGTGGGCCTGCTGTAAATATATTGCAGCATTGCGCAGAACGAAGAAGCCCAGTAAGGTTGAAAGGACAAAGGAAACTGGAGGTTTATTTGTCGTGCCAAACAAAGGCATTCCGAGCCCAGGTTTCTCACACGGCCAAGATGGAGGCACTATCGCACACTGACTAACTCATGCTGAGCTGGAGAAGGAAGAGGGAGGGAGGACACAAAGTCAGAAAGGAGGTCACCTACTTTACCAACAAACAGCTGCTGAAAGAGAAGGAACCGGCGAGGGAAGAATAGGTTGCCTTTCTGTCTATCCTCCCACCCAATGGTCCAGGTAACTTATTGCAACCAGGTAACTTATTGCTCCCAGCAAAGGCCACTTCCTGTTGGTGCTCCCTGAGGCTGATGGGAGTTGTAGTCCAAAACATCTGGATCAGGGAAGGCTGCTCTATGTTCTATACTCTAGCCTGGCTCACGGTGCAGGAATCAGAATCTGGTGGAGAATGGATTATGCCACTTTGCATCACAGCTGGGGGGGAGAACCCTTATTTTAAAATGCTCCTCCACATGAAAAATTCAGTGTAAAACAGGCAGGGAATGAGCTGGGCTGGAAGACCACTCTTCTGATGTGAATTTATTATTATTATTTACATGCAAAGGATTATTTATACATGGGTGAACATGCGAAACCGGCACTCTCTACCTCCAAAGTTCTGAAAAGGAAGATTCCCCCCCTCCTATCTCGGAATTCTAACCACTTCATTCTGCTGGGTGTGTCAAACCGATGCCTTTGGTTCTCCTGAGTGCCAGGCAATGTGTCTGACCTTATCTCTTAGGGTACCCTAGCAAGGGAAGATGCAATGGGTTATATGGGGATTCTCGTACAGACTTGGAATTCCAGAACAGCATGCTGTGTAGAGTTCTGGTCACCTCACCCCGAAGAGGATATTGTAGGGTTGCTAAAGGTTCGGAAAAAGGGCCATCAAAACAATCGAGGGGGTGGAACGACTGCCCTAAAGGTGAGTTTGCAGTGGCTGGGACATTGCAAGAGGCAACGTGTTAAAGGTTTGTACAGAGAAAGCAGATGGAGAAAAAGTTATTCTGTTTCATAACACTAGAGGTTGTGGGCATCTAATGATGCTGAAAATGGGAAGATTCAGGATGCATAAAAGAGAGTCCTTCTGCACACAGGTAAAAAGGTAAAGGTAAAGGACCCCGGACAGTTAAAGGTAAAGGTAAAGGACCCCTGGATGGTTACATCTAGTCAAAGGTGACTATGGGGTTGCAGCACTCATCTCACTTTCAGGCTGAGGGAGCCGGCGTTTGTCCACAGACAGCTTTCCAATTCATGTGGCCAGCAGGACTAAACTGCTTCTGGCACAACAGAACACCGTGACGGAAACCAGAGCGCATGAAAATGCTGTTTACCTTCCCGTCGCAGCAGTACCTATTTATCTACTTGCACTGGTGTGCTTTTGAACTGCTAGGTAGGCAGGAGCTGGGGCAGAGCAACGGGAGCTCACCCCATTGCGGGGATTCGAACCGCCAACCTCCACAACCAAAGGCAACAATGAATACCAACTGCTGGAAACTGCAGGAACAGAGAGTGCTCTTGCGTTCCAATCCTGCTTGCCGCTTTCTCACCATGGTATCTGGTTGGCCACTGCAAGAACAGAGTGCTGGACTAGATGGGGCTCCTTCGGCCTGATCCAGCAGGTTCTCCCAGTGTTCTTATGCAAAGGAGGTCAGGCGCAGAACACACTTCCTGCTGTGCCTGCAGCCAGGGTTGCTTGGAGACACATCTCCCAAGGCTGGGAGCCCAGACCACGGGTGATGCTTTGAGGACCATTCCACCCTTGGGCTCGGGGGACCTGGCCCAGACGCTTCTATTAATGTTGCCAATGCATTCCAGATCAAAAAAGAACATCCGTTCCATGTGATGTCATACTGGCTCCCTGCTGATTGGATGCGGCTTGGCAAAGTGCATTTGTGAGGTCAAGAGCGGTGGGAGAATGCGGTGATAGGAGTAGCATTGGGAGCCAAGAGGAGGATGAGATGGCTGTTCCTGCTACTCCAGATCCTTGCCACTGTCTGGCCCAGCCGTGCCATAGTTGATACTTGCGAGTAAGTGACGGGAACAGACAAGAGTCCAGCAGGAAGCTTAACGCTTCTTCACTTAGTGCCTAGTTAAACAATGGAACTCTCTCCCACAGGAGGCAGAGACGGCCACCAACTTGGGTGGCTTTCAACTTCATGGAAGAGAGGACTATTCATGGCTATTAGGAAGGCTCTGCTCTGTCTCCAATGCTGGAGGAAGCAGTGCTTCTGATTACTAGTTGCTGGGAACTGCAGGCGTGGAGAGGGCTCCATGTGCCTGGGTCCTGCTTTCCGGTTTCCTTTTGGGGTATCCTGTCCACTGTGAGGACAGGATGGTGGACTAGATGGGCCATTGGCCTGATCCAGCAGGCTCTCTTTGTTTCGTTATGGAAAGGAAGACCCTTCTCTTCAGATCTCCACACTGAGTATCCCATGGGACAAATGTTACAGAGTTGATCTCAAGTCAGTAGACGTGGCCATGGCTGCAGAATTATTGTTGTGTGTGTGTGTTCAGGGCAACAGAAGGATGTCCTGCGAAGGGGAAAGACACTTGTGTAGATCTTAATAATAATAATAATAATATTTTATTTATATCCCACCCTCCCCAACCGAAGCCGGGCTCAGAGCAGCTAACAACAGTAAAGTAATACAGCATTCTAAAATCAATTCATTCTAAAATCTGTTCAAAATCAAATTAATGGCAACCATTGGGCTAGAGTTCTTGTGAGGATTATAGAAGGAGGGGGTCAGGCTGTGCCTTGGCCAAAGGCCTGGTGGAACAGCTCTGACTTGCAGGCCCTGCGGAAAGATGTCAAGTCCCGCAGGGCCCTGGTCTCTTGTTCCACCAGATCGGGGCCACGGCCGAAAAAGCCCTGGCTCTGGTTGAGGCCAGCCTAACCTGCTTGTGGCCTGGGACCTCCAAGATGTTTTTGTCAGAAGATTGTAAGTTCCTCTGTGGGACATACCAGGAGAGGTGGTCCTGTAGGTACGAGGGTGTTGGGCCGTATAGGGCTTTAAAGGTCAAAACCAGGACCTTAAACCTGATCCTGTACTCCACCGGGAGCCAGTGCAGCTGGTATAGCACCGGGTGAATGTGATCCCGCAGCGAGGACCCCGTAAGGCGTCTCGCTGCGGCATTCTGCACCCGCTGGAGTTTCTGTGTCAGTCTCAAGGGCAGCCCCATGTAGAGTACACCCCCACCTTGAGGATGGATGTAGATGGGCGAACAGCAACAAAGTTAAATACCTGCATGGACCCAAAGGTTCATGGATAAAGGAAGAACAGTGTCTAAGGATGGTAGGGAGCAATTTAGGTGGGAACATGGGCCATGCCATTTTCTGCAGTGGAAACATTAGCTGGCACAAGGCAAGATGTTTGCTGCATTTATTCATCTTTGATCCAATGAGCTCTAGGTGGTGCGCATGGTTCCCCACCCCGGTCCTCATTTAATCCCCACAACAGCCCTGTAACTTAGGCTGAGAGCGGGTGGCTGGCCCCCAAGCTCACCACCACCAGTGAGCTTCATGGCTGAGAGGGCTAAGACCCTCCCTGCCCGCAGACTGTCTTGCCAGAGTGGTGCATGCTCTAGTTATCTCTCACTTGGACTACTGCAATGTGCTCTACCTGGGGCTCCCTTTGAAGGTGACCCGGAAACTACAACTAATCCAGAATGCAGCAGCTAGACTGGTGACTGGGAGTGGCCGCCGGGACCACATAACACCGGTCCTGAGAGATCTGCATTGGCTCCCAGTACGTTTCTGAGCACAATTCAAAGTGTTGGTGCTGACCTTTAAAGCCCTAAATGGCCTCAGTCCTGTATACCTGAGGGAGCGTCTCCACCCCCATCCGTGGAGCGCCCTCCCTTCAGATGTGAAGGAAATAAGCAGCTATCCTATCTTTAAAAGATATCTGAAGGCAGCCCTGTTTAGGGAAGTTTTTAATATTTAATGCTGTATTGTTTTTAACACTCGATTGGGAGCCGCCCAGAGTGGCTGGGGAAACTCAGCCAGATTGGCTGGGTATAAATAATAAATTATTATTATTATTATTTGAACCCTGCTCTTGCCCCAGTCTGACACTCTGACCATTGCACCACACTGCCTCTCGATGTGCAGAATGGACCACTGGGAGCGAGGAAGCACTGACGACCACCTCTCTTTCCAGAGTCTGCGGAAGGCGCCCCTTGGTGCCAGGCCATGGTGGCGGCACAGGGCGGACTACAGGTGGGGCCGACGCCCTGCCGGGGGCCTGGCCCTGGATCGTCAGCTTGCAGCTGCCAACGTTGACAGGGCACAAGCACACCTGCGGAGGCGCCCTCATCACTGCCCGGTGGGTCCTCACAGCTGCCCACTGCTTTGGAAGCAAAAAGTAAGCAGGAGCCAAAGTGGTTGGGGATGGATGAGGCGAAGGAAGATGCCCCCCTGACTGGCCATATGCCCTGACCACTGGGAGCCGGGCCATGTAGGGGGCAATGGGGAAAACGGGTGCGGGTCCCCAAGTATAAGGAACAAAAAACACAAAGCCGCAGGTGATACAATAGAAATACAGTGATACCTCGGTTCTTGAACGTAATCCATTCTGGAAAACCGTTCAGCTTCCGAAATGTTTGAAAACCGAGGCGCGGCTTCCCATTGGTTGCAAGAGCTCCTTGCACTCAGCAGAAGCGACATCGCATATTCGGGTTCCGTAAAATGTTCGAAAACGGAAGCATTTACTTCTGGGTTTTCGGCTTCCGAAACATTTGATAACGGAAGCTTTCGGGAACTGAGGTACCACTGTATATATAATCGTACGTGTAATTGTGACTTCTGAAACGAAGGTTGGACTAGGATGACCTTACACTACAATTCTACGATTCTACGATTAATAAGTATACCTGCATACAATTTAGTATTACAAAATATCCAAGCTGTGTCCACTGAATATAAAACAAATAAGTTCTCCATGCCTAAAAGTCTGATTACAAAGGAATGCCTTTCTGCCTGGTGCCAGAATATATGTAATGATGGTGCCAGGCGAGCCTCCCTGGGGAGTGCATTGCACAAAAGGGGAGCCACCACTGAAAAGGCCCTATTCGCCTGTTGCTGCCCTCTGGACCTCCTGGGTCCAGGTCAGTTCGTAAGGGGAGAGGCAGTTCTTGGGGTACTGGAGTCCTGAGCTGTGCTCGGCTTCACAGCTTCTTCTGCTCTCCAGGAGCCTTCCGCACTGGCGCGCAGTGATTGGCGCTTCGAAGCTCTCCGTCCTCGGCTCGGAGGTCCACGTGCGCTACATCAAGCAAGTGGTGGTGCACGAAGCCTACCAGCCGACCACGCAGGTCAACGACGTGGCACTGATGGAGCTGGACCAGCCCATCATCTGCAGCGACTACATCCAGCCGGCCTGCATGCCCGACAGCACCGTCAGCGTGGCCGCTCTGTCTTTCTGCTACATCAGTGGCTGGGGACTCAGCAAAGCGAAAGGTGAGAGCCCGGCCAAGGCGGCCTCCCTGCCACACCCTGGCACCCGAGTAGACAAAGCAGGTGGGGAAAGGCAGCTGAGAGGTTCCTCTGGGGACCTTGGCTGACCTCCTTTTACAGCAGGGAGAAGGAACTATTTGAGCTTGGGAGCCGCAAGCCCTTCTGGGCAACTTTCCAGGGGCCACATGGCAGTGGTGGGTGGAGCCAGGGGGAAAGTGGCCCAAGTGGCAAATGTGAATTTTACCTGTGTTGTTGTTGTTTAGTCATTTAGTTGTGTCCAACTCTTCATGACCCCCTGGACCAGAGTATGCCAGGCCCTCCTGTCTTCCACTGCCTCCCACAGTTTGGTCAAACTCATGCTGGCAGCTTCGAGAACACCACCCAACCATCTCGTCCTCCGTCGTCCCCTTCTCCTTGCGCCCTCCATCTTTCCCAACATCAGGGTCTTTTCCAGGGAGTCTTCTCTTCTCATGAGGTGGCCAAAGTCTTGGAGCCTCAGCTTCAGGATCTGTCCTTCCAGTGAGCACTCAGGGCTGATTTCCTTCAGAATGGATCGGTTTGATCTTCTTGCAGTCCATGAGACTCTCAAGAGTCTCCTCCAGCACCAGAATTCAAAAGAATCCATTCTTCAGCGATCAGCCTTCTTGATGGTCCAGCTCTCACTTTCATACATCACTACCTGTGTGCATACACACTACCTGTGTGCAGAAGGCTAATTTCTACACACACTCTCTCTCAATCTTCCTACCACACAAGCAAGAGGCACAGTACGAATTCAAGGCCACATCCTGGCCATGTGAAAACACTCGAGGAGGATGCAAAGTAGGGGGCAGTGGGGGAGGCAGGGATGGCCACAAACCTGGGTGGCTTTAAAAGAGGATCCGACAAATTTAAGGTGGAGGAGAGGGCTATCGGTGGCTACTAGCCCTAACGGCTATGCTCTTGCCTCCAGAGTTTTGAGGCAGAGGTGTTTCTAAATACCAGTTTGCTGGAAACCGCAGGAGGGAAGAGTTGCTCTTGTGCTCAGATCCTTCTTTTCGGTTTCCCATAATGATCTGGATGGCCCCTATGAGAAAAACAGGATGTTGGACTAGACCGTCCACTGGCCTGATCCAGCAAGATCTTCTTAAGTGGCCTGGGAAAGAGGAGTGCCTGGAAAGTGTGGGGTGAGGAGAGGTCCAAAGGCCAGATCAGGAGGGCAGAAGGGTCTCACTTGGTCCTGAGCCTGTGGTTTTTCATCCCTGGTTCATATTAGTCATCACCACTCTCCATGATGAACTGTGAAACCGTATGGAAATCTATACATTAAAGCAACGATACCAGCTTTTGCCAACTTGGTGGCTCCCAGATGTTTTGGACAATGTCTTCCATCGGGTGCTGTTTTCTGTGGCTAAAGAGAATTGTTGACCCAAACATCTGGAAGCTGCCTGGTGGAAGTTCTATTAAACCTTGCTTGGCTGGGTCTGCCCAAATCTCATGGCTTCGCCCAGTTGTTCCATATTTATGGACCACCTTCCGCTTTGTTCCATGAAACTCACCTCTTGTGCTCCCCACCCCATAGAAAGCTTTATTCAGAATCGCCACCTGTACTACCCACAAAGGAAGATAATAGCACAATGAAATCCAAAACAGACACAACGAATTGCATATTTGTTCATGATGGCTCTTGCTCGACCTCCACAGTTGGAGGAAGCGATGCTTCTGAACGCCAGAAGTTTATTCTGATGTTCTGATGGAACCTCCAGGTTCAGAGGCAGTCCAGATTCCTCAGTCCTTAGGTGTATTTGGCTGCTCCAGCAGGCTGTTAACAACACTTTGGAGGTCCTGGGCCTCAAGGAGGCTAGATTGGTCTCAACTAGGGCTAGGGCCTTTTCAGTACTGGCCCCGACTTGGTGGAACGCTGTGTCACAAGAGACCAGGGCCCTGCGGGATTTGACATCTTTCCGCAGGACCTGTAAGATGGAGCTGTTCCGCATGGCCTTCGGCTTAGACTCACTCTGACCCCTAATATGGGTTTTGGTATATAAATTTTCCCTTGGCTTTTTTGCTGGCCCAGGTAGGACCAGCATGGATAGCTGGCTCGGGTGAATATCTGATGTTTCTTCCCTTTATGGTCTACTACTAAAATGAGGCTGCATTTTAAGCTGTATTTTAAGCCGTATTTTAATTAACTGTTTTTTTCTTCTTTTCTCTAGTAACGTTTTATTGTGTTAGCTTTATATTTTGTGTTAGCTGCCCTGAGCCTGGCCCTGGCCGGGGACGGTGGGGTATAAATAAAAATTTACTATTATTATTATTACTACTACTACAGTCATACCTCGGGTTAAAGTAGCTTCGGGTTAAATCTTTTCAGGCTGCGTCCCGCGGCGACCCGGACATAACGGAACGGGTTGCTTCCGGGTTTCGCCGCTCGCGCATGTGCAGACGCTCAAAATGATGTCACGTGCATGCACAGAAACGGCAAATTGCGACCCACACGCGCGCAGACGTGGGTTGTGTTCTGCTCAGGATGCGAATGGGGCTCTGGAACGGATCCCGTTCGCATCCAGAGGTACCACGGTATTATTATTATTATTATTATTATTATTATTATTATTTCTGATTGCCTCTGTTCAATGCCCCCAAAGTGGCAGTCCTGATGATGTTGCTCCTTAAGGATCCTGGGGTGGGGTGGGGGCACTTCCTTTCCTCCGTGGGGCTTCAGTTGTAGCTGAAATTCCAGCATCAAGCTGTCTAGGAATAGGTCGGGGGGAGGGACACACCACAGACTAAAGAGTGCTCTTCCACTGCCAACAGGGGTGGAGGCATCAGACATGATGCAGGAGGCAAAGGTCAATCGCTTTTCCACCCAGACGTGCAACAGCAGCAGCTGGTACAACGGGACCGTAAGAGAGAACAGCCTCTGCGCAGGGTACGAACAAGGAGGCACCGACAGCTGCCAGGTAAGGTGCCAATATCCTCGGCAGCTTCAGATATGTGGAACTGGGTGTCAGATTCGAGGATGCAGGAAACAGCCTTGTTCTGAGGATATAGGGCTCCAGCTCCTTTGGCTCACATCATCATTTGGGGTCATCAGCCCAGAGGCGTAGTGTTGGGGGGCTGGGGGGCGTGGCCCCACATGCACATTTCTGAGGGGGCACCCCCACGACAGGGTGGCCACAGCTGTGGGGAGGCAAGCCAAGCTGAACCCAGGCTGGGTCCTCAGGGGATGGGATGGAGTCTCCTCCTCCCCTTGGCTGGCGCATGCCCTGCCCATGGGCCAACCAAGAGGGAGGGAGGGAGAAGGCGCTGCCACCCCTTTCCCAGGAGAGGTGAGAAGCTCCTCCTGGATGGGGAGGGAGAGCCGTGTTCTCTGGGGCTCCAGTACAGTGTGCCGGCAGGCAGGTTGGTCCAGTGGGCAGGTGGATGGAAGCAGAGGGCAAGGAGTCTGCTGAAGGTGGGCTTCGTTCACCCTCAGCACGGGCCCCGCATGCCCCCAGCACACACACACCCCCAGCCGACCAGGCAGGGCAGCCCACACCTAGCCACTGCATCACACTGCATCTTGTGTGAAAGTGGCAAAGCACAAGTGGTAAGATCAGAGCCAGTGGTGGTGTAATGGTCAGAGTGTCAGACTAGGACACAGGAGACCAGGGTTTGAATCCTCAGTCAGCCACGGAAAATATATCTGTGCCCTATGTTTCTATTTAGTGACCACTCCTCTGTTGTGATATCTAAAGGGTTTGGGGAGCCCCCAATACACTTCAGTTTGCCCTTTAGAAAAACCACACTCACTTTGGCCACAGGCAGGCTGAGATGTGGCCTCCAGAGAGCTGAGCATGGGCCAATGTGGCTCTCGCTCGCCACCCACCGCCAACAAGGCAAGGCACCCATTTTACACCTTTGACTCAGCCATGGGAGACAGTCAGCATCTCTTCGACCCGTGCAGCCCTTCAGCTGCCCAGCGCTTCTGGAAACCCCGCAACGCCCCAGTGGCCACCCCTTTCTTCCCTCCTTTCGAGACAAATGCAATCGGTTGCTCACCCCCAACTTCTTCTGCATGTCTTGTCGCTGCAGGGAGACAGTGGGAGCCCCCTCATGTGCAAGGAAGAGGCAGCTCAGCCATTTTGGGTGATTGGAGTCACCAGCTGGGGCCAAGACTGTGGCAAAGCACACCGGCCTGGAGTCTACGCTGCCACACAGCCCTTGTATGCCTGGGTGAAAGGGTGGGCAGGACCCATGCCCCAGCCCCCACCCACCCCAGAGCCTGCCCCTTCAGCACCCCGGAAGCTGAAGACACCTCACGTCACAATCTATTTCCATCCTCCGACAAACCCTTTCCATTGGTCTGAGACCAGCAGCAAGACCACAGCCTCATCGCAGCCGAAGCCACAAGAGGAGATCACATCCACAAGCACATCTCAACCCACGCCCACGCCCGAAACCAAGCCTGAAACCACATCCCAACCCACGCCTGAAACCAAGCCTGAAACCACATCCCAACCCACGCCTGAAACCAAGCCTGAAACCACATCCCAACCCACGCCCGAAACCAAGCCTGAAACCACATCCCAACCCACGCCTGAAACCAAGCCTGAAACCACATCCCAACCCACGCCTGAAACCAAGCCTGAAACCACATCTCAACCCAAACCCACGCCAGAAACCAAGCCTGAAACCACAACTCAACCCAAACCCACACCAGAAACCAAGCCTGAAACCACATCTCAACCCAAACCCACACCAGAAACCAAGCCTGAAACCACATCCCAACCCACGCCCGAAACCAAGCCTGAAACCACATCTCAACCCAAACCCACGCCAGAAACCAAGCCTGAAACCACAACTCAACCCAAACCCACGCCCGAAACCAAGCCTGAAACCACAACTCAACACAAACCCACGCCTGAAACCAAGCCTGAAACCACAACTCAACCCAAACCCACACCAGAAACCAAGCCTGAAACCACATCTCAACCCACACCAGAAACCAAGCCTGAAACCACATCTCAACCCAAACCCAAACCCAGAACTCCAACCAAGCCCACAATCACAATTCATTTCAGGCCTGCAACCCCAACTCAAACCAAGCCTGAAACCCAATCTCAACCCAAACCCACGTCAACACCTCCAACCAAGCCCACAATCACAATTCTGTTGAGGCCTGCAACCCCAACTCAAACCAAGCCTAAAACCCAATCTCAACCCAAACCTACGTCAACATCTCAAACCAAGCCCACAATCACAATTCATTTGAGGCCTGCAACCCCACCTAAACCAAGACCCCCACTTCCACCGCAGGCAAAGCCAGAACACATACCTCAACCTGAGCCAGAGACCCCTCCTCTGCCAATGCCCAAAGTCCCACCTCAGGCTAAGATACCAACCACACCTGAACCAAATATCACAGCCTCACCTCAAAGGAAGCCAGAAACCACAACTCAACCAAAGATCACACCTCCAACAGACCCAGAAATCATACCTCAGCCAAAGCCTGCATCCCCTCCTCAAACAGATCCAGATGGCATACCTGCATCTCAGCCACCTCCCAAGCCCCCAACTCCACCTCAACCTGAGAACAGCACTACGCCAGAAGTGAAGCCCCCGTCCCTACCTCAAACTGTGTCCAACACCTCACTTGAACCCAATAATGAAACACAACCTGAGATGGAGCTAGATGTATCACCTGAGCATGAGCATGAACATGAGCACAAGCCTGGAGGACCAAATGTGTATGAGTATGAACATCAACATGAGTATGAACATGAACATGAACATGAGCATGAGCATGAACATGAGCATGAACATGGGACAGGAGAGCCTTATGCATATGAGTACGAGCATGAGTATGAGGCTGGAGGGCCACCTGAGCATGAAACCCCACTGGAACCCACGACGGAAGTGTCATCTGCACCTGTGACAGAAGCCCCATCAACACCCACAACAGAAGTGACATCGAAACCCACAACAGAAGTCCCATCAACACCCACAACCGAAGCTCCATCAACACCCACAGAAGCCCCATCAAAACCCACAACCGAAGCTCCATCAACACCCACAGAAGTCCCATCAAAACCCACAACTGAAGCTCCATCAAAACCCACAACCGAAGCTCCATCAACACCCACAGAAGCCCCATCAAAACCCACAACCGAAGCTCCATCAACACCCACTGAAGCCCCATCAAAACCTACAACCGAAGCTCCATCAACACCCACAGAAGCCCCATCAAAACCCACAACCGAAGCTCCATCAACACCCACAGAAGCCCCATCAAAACCCACAACCGAAGCTCCATCAACACCCACAGAAGCCCCATCAAAGCCCACAACTGAAGCTCCATCAACACTCACAGAAGTCCCAACAAAACCCACAACCGAAGCTCCATCAACACCCACAGAAGCCCCATCAAAACCCACAACAGAAGTCCCATCAAAACCTACAACCGAAGTCCCATCAAAACCCACAACCGAAGCTCCATCAACAACCACAGAAGCCCCATCAAAACCCACAACCGCAGCTCCATCAACAACCACAGAAGCCCCATCAAAACCCACAACTGAAGCCCCATCAAAACCCACGATGGAAGCCCCATCAACACCCACAGAAGTCCCATCAAAACCCATGATGGAAGCCCCATCAACACCCACAGAAGTCCCATCGAAACCCACAACCGAAGCTCCATCAACACCCACAGAAGTCCCAACAAAACCCACAACCGAAGCCCCATCAACACCCACAGAAGTCCCATCAAAACCCACAACCGAAGCTCCATCAACACCCACAGAAGTCCCATCAAAACCCACGATGGAAGCCCCATCAACACCCACAGAAGTCCCAACAAAACCCACGACCGAAGCCCCATCAACACCCACAGAAGCCCCATCAAAACCCATGACAGAAGCCCCACCAGAACCCACCACGAAAGCCCCAAAACCTCAGCCCAAACCAGAAGCCCCAGCTGCCCCCAAGCCCCAGAAAAATACCAATACCACAGTGGCCTCTTTCTTCAGACTGCTTCAGAAATTCTTGCATGCTGCCAGGCAGGAGAAGTTGACCGAGCTGGAACTCAAGAAGAAAGGTGCAGATTCTCTCCCGGATTCAGGAGCAGAGAAAGGGAATCCTTGCGCGCAGACAAAGAACTCCAAAGCGCCCCTGGCACGCGAGTGCCTCACCAAAGTCAGTAGGTCTTAGCAGAGCGACTGCCAAATAGTACCCCTAAGAGGAACTCTTGTGTCAGATTTTGTATTGAATCCAGAAGGAAATAAACTTTTATGTTTGTTACCTGCGTGTGATGCTTGTCTTGACACACTCAGCCACCCTCCTGAGGCCAGTTCTGCTCAGCACCACACTCTGGTGTTGTTGGCCACCTGAAAAACTGGCTGCTTGTATTCTTCCTCACCGTATTGTAAATTGTAAGGTGCGGGGGAATCCTACGATTGCGTGCAAGCAGACAGGAGGAAACAGAGGCAGCCACTGGGGTTGTCTTTTACGACCGTTAAGTGGTGACCCCACTGGGCGTGGTAATCCAGTCAGGGAAAAAGGGAGGCAGACTATGTTTAGGGCACCTTTTCTAGCCCTTCCCCCTTTTGGGGGTGAGCAGAGTGGATCCTAAAAAGGGCTGCTCGGTCATGGATACAGCTGCTGAGCTGCTCAACTGCCTTGTTCCTTGAATAAGAACGACTGAATCTGTATCCACCACCCATGTGCCGGTTCATGACTAGGGGCTTCCAGATTTCACAATCCTGCCCCCGTTACCATTTGCCGATCGCCATGGGACTTTTGGGGTTTGGGTTGGGTTTTTGGAAGATGCCTGTGTGTAAATTTATTTTGTGTGTAGATCAGTACATGCTGACCAACTCAGTGTCTTCGCAGTAGGGCTCTGTTCCGATGGCATGAAGTAGTCACAACAAACCGGTAGATTCCTATCTGCTGCAGCCTTCACAAGCGTTGTAACATACCGCTTGTTATCATCTGCCTGTTCTGCCGTTGAGGACTTCTTGGATCATTCTTTGTCTAGCTGCTTCCCTTTGACCTTACCGTCTTGGGTGACCCTGCTGGGAGTGCGAGATTCCCGACGGCTTCGCTCACAAGGGTCATAGGAACATGCTAGCCCACTCACCACAAGGTGATGATCGAGTGAGTGGGTGTCTAATATGGGACACAGGTGGCACTGTGGTCTAAACCAACGAGCCTCTTGGGCTTGCTGATCAGGTCGGTGGTTCGAATCTCTGTGATGGGGTGAGCTCCCGTTGCTCTATCCCAGCTCCTGCCAGCCTAGCAGTTTGAAAGCACACCAGTGGAAGTAGATAAATAGGTACCACTGTGGCAGGAAGGTAAACGGCATTTCCGAGAGCTCTGGTTTCCGTCATGGTGTTCAGTTGTGCCAGAAACAGTTTAGTCATGCTGGCCACGACCTGGAAAGCTGTCTGTGGAGAAATGCCAGCTCCCTCAGCCTGAAAGCAAGATGAGCGCTGAAACCCCATAGTCACCTTTGACTGGACTTGACCATCCAGGGGTCCTTTCTTTGTCTAATCCTCTTTCAACAGCCACCTACGCTAGTGGCCAAAATTGTGGAAACCTTTTGGGGAAAGTGTATTTCTGAGGTTTGATGGCTCAGAACATCACTTTCTTTTGGAGCAATACCATAAAATTATATATCAACGGAAAGGTAATTTAATGAAGAATGTAGTTCAATAACTTTTATGGATTATTTATTACAACAGCAGTCATAAAGAAGAAATGTGAAGCACATAGAAAAAACCAATATATACAAAAATTCTCACCATGTCAGTTAATATTTAGTTTGGTAACCTTTAGCTTTAATTACGGCATTACAACGCCTTCCCATGGAGTGAACAAAGTCTTTTAGTTCTGCAGCTGTAATAATGTGAAACCAAGATTGAATTATTGCCTCTATTAATTGGGTTTTATTGCTGGGTTGCTTCTAACAGGTTTCTTCAGTCAGCTCCACAGATTTTCAGTTGGGTTAAAGGTCTGGGCTATGTATTTTTGGGCATTTACATTCACATTAATGATGCAAATTCTGCCCACACCTTTTGCTGTCATACAGCCCCAGATCATAACACTAACTGGGTCTTTCATGGTAGATGTAAATCTCCAATTCTTCTCCTAGCGTATTTCATGCCATCACTACCAAGCAAGGAGATTTTGCTCTCATCACTCCAAAATACATTGTCCCAGTGTCCCGCTGTCCAGTTAACATAGGTTTTATCCCAGTTTAATCTTTTCAACCTTTGTCTGAGAGATAACAATGGCTTTTTCCTTGGAATTCCAGCATTTAGACCATATTCCTGTAGTCTGCGCCGAACAGTCCTTGCACTCAACTTCACATTACATTGCACCATGTCATCTTGCATATACCCAGATGATTTTCTTCTGTCACGTAGGCACAATATCTCAATTCTTCCATCATCACTTGTTGTGCATCTTTCCCTGCCTTTACTAGTCTGATTTTGTAGTGACTGAGTCTCCTTATAACTCTTCAAAAATTTAGAAATGCAACCTTTGGTTACGTTTCCACCAATTTTTCTTCTAATTTCTTCATAACTGTACTTCACATAACTTCACACTGACAAATGTCCTCCTCTCAGCTCCAGTATATAACATCAATAGCTGCATCCTACTGTGACCTGATTGGATCATTGCCAAAACAAGATGACACCTGATTGGTTCTCTAAACACTTGTGCTCATTGATTACATTTAAATGAAGAAAAGCTACCGCATTATCAACCTAAGCAAGTTGTGCTTCCTTTTTCTGGTTATTTGGCTATAACTTTTGATAGACTACAGATAATTGAACATTACATTCTTCATGAAATGATCTTTCCATTGATATAGAATTTTACGGTATTACTCCAAAAGAAAGTGGTGTTATGAGCCATCAAACCTCAAAAATACATGTTTTCCAAAAGGTTCCCCCAGTTTTGGCTGCTAGGGTGGGCTGGTGGCCATCCCTGCCTCCTGAGGTCTGATCCAGCCACGGGGCTCTTCTCGCTTACGCCAACCTGACTTCCTTTGCTTCCTTGGGGAGAATGCAAGAAAACAGGGATGTCCAACAGGTTTATCGACTGGTCAATCCCCTGGAGATTTTGGTAGATCGCTGGCTCCTCCATCCGGCCCCTCCCCGTGTCCTGTAGATTGCTAGAACGGAAGTGATGCTGTCTCCTTAGCGATTGACCCCTGAGCGCCTTTTTTCATTCATTAGACCTGAAACCCCCCCCCCAAAAAAGGACGTTCCTCCCTTAAAAAAAGCTCAATAACTTTGACCTGAACCTCCCCCACCCCCACGGGTAGATCACTGCCAGATTTTAATCATGTGAGTAGATCGCGGTCTCTTAGAAGTTGGACGTCCCTGCAAAAAAAGGTCTCCAAACTCTGCCGCAAGTCCTTCAAATATTTATTTCTGAAGGCAGACGCCATCCACAATAGCTCATGGCTGAAGATCCCCAAGATGTGGGGCGGGGGGGATCCGTGAGCCCAACTCCCACCAAACCATATATTCCCCCCACCTCCCCAGCATTCTTAAGGGGAGGGAACTGCTACGGGTTCTCTGCCTGGTCACCCACACCACAAGGATCCAGAGGAGCAGAGCTGATCTCTGTCAGGTTGCCTCCCTTAGGGAGGGAGGGCCGGCACCTCTGTGCAGGGAGCACTGCTCCCCACCCCCAAGTCCCTGCCAAACTGGGCGCCCCTAGCTACTCGAGGAAGTGGATCTAGGCCACCCCATTCCCTGGCCTCAGGTTGACGGGGGATTTTCTTCTGGGCTGTTCTCCTCTTTGTCAGTCGAGTCCTCCCCCTTCTTCTCCAGTTCGAAATTCTGAAAGAAGACAAGAGAAAGTTGGAACAGCAAAACATCAGAGAAAAAGGCCAGTCCACCTCTTGGGGGGCTCCGGCATGGAATCTTTCCTTCCAAGTCCTTCTCAGTTCCAACAGTCACTACAGGCAGCAGCAATTGAGGCTTCTGCTGTCCCAGTTTGCGTCTGCCTATCTGAGTTTGTCGATAAAGAAGGCTGATCGCGGAAGAATGGATGATTTTGAATTATGGTGCTGGAGGAGACTCTTGAGAGTCCCATGGACTGCAAGAAGATCCAACCGATCCATTCTGAAGGAAATCAGCCCTGAGTGCTCACTGGAAGGACAGATCCTGAAGCTGAGGCTCCAAGACTTTGGCCACCTCATGAGAAGAGAAGACTCCCTGAAAAAGACCCTGATGTTGGGAAAGATGGAGGGCACAAGGAGAAGGGGACGACAGAGGACGAGATGGTGGGACAGTGTTCTTGAAGCTACCAGCATGAGTTTGACTAAACTGTTGGAGGCAGTGGAAGACAGGAGTGCCTGGCGTGCTCTGGTCCAGGGGGTCACGAAGAGTCGGACATGACTGAACGACTAAACAACAACAATGTAAGTTTGAGATTGTTTTCACTGTATTTAAATTACTGTTCTTGTATTAATTTTTTTTGCAAAGTGCCAATTGAACACAGGGCATACACTAACTATTAAGTACGACTACCACCCTTCCCAGTAAGGAGGCAGCCATGTTGCCATCACCCTGTTCCTCTTGCCGCAGCACCTGGCTTTTCTGTCGCAGAAGAAACAAGGGCCTTGCTGCTCTGGCTGTTTTTTATTGCTCGATCCCTGACAGCAGCTGCTCTCACCTGCAGCCAGAAGCGAGAGTAGCAGGGAAGAGCAGGAATGGCCACAGAGGAAAAGGAAAGCAGCCGGAGCCTGTAGCTGCTCAAAGCGGAAGTGCGGCAGGGGTGGGACTGGCAGCTGGGCCCATGAGCCAAGGCAAGGGGTGAAAAGGGGCTCTTCAGCCGCAGCCAGCTGTAGTGGCTGTCAAAACCAGAGGTCACTACAGGCTTGCGGGGGCTTCAAAGCAGTTCAATTAAAAGGCAGTTCAGTTGCTGTGATCCCTGCATTGCAGGGGTTTGGTCTAGATGACCCCCCTGGGTCCCTTCCAACTCTATAAAGTGCTGGGTTCTGTGCTCTCCCAAAGGAATGCGGCGCAAGTCTCCAAGGGCTGGGGGGCCTCACAAGGACAGGGTGCGGGAACACACTGGGGAGATTTGCTCTTACTTCCAGTTCCTTCAAGACTTCATCCATAAAGTCTTCTGAATTCTGTTTGTAGGCCACAGCCAGCTTGATGGCATCGTTGAAGACCTGGTGGGAGAGGAAGGGAGACCACTGAAGAGGTAAGAAGGTGGGCTCTGGGTTTCTCCCACCCCTTTTTCCACCGTAGGAGGGCGGCTGCCAAGCCGATTCCACCACCCATCAGCTCCTCCCCCCAGGAAGCCTGCCAGCCGCAGGTCCTGCCTCCCTCCCAGGCGAAAGCTCTCTCCTACCTTCACCACATTGGTGCCATCTGCAGCAGACACAAAATAGAAGGGAAGGTTGAACTTCCGCGGAAAGCTGAAGCCTTTCTGAGTCACCTTCATGTCGGCTGGAGGAGCAAAAGAGGAGGTCATTGCTCAAGGAGCCATTGTGGGGAAGGCACACTACCTAGGTAGCGCCCGCTTGATCATTTTAAAAAGCAAGGCATGCAAGTTTAATAAAGCGCTCATCTTTCTCCCTGTGATTGCTATTGTTTAAAATACAAAGTCTAGTACAATGATGTTGAAAAACTGCTCCATGAATAGGGGGCAGGAAGGAAGGTGGTTAACGTCACTAATGCTAGCCACTCAGTGCTGTGCCCAACCAGCTTCTGCAGAACTACCTTCCTCCACTGGCTTCGACCCAGGAGAGAAAGCAGATTATTTTCATTACTGCATTCAGAAAAGAACTGGCTTTCTGGGCAGGATTGACGCCAGCGGAGCAGTGGGAGCTGGTCAACTCGGGCAAATGGGGCACTGCCCTGCCAATCAGTTCACCCTCAGCCAGCCGCCTGTCAAGGATTCTGAAGTCCAGAGGCTGAGTGCTAAGTTGAAAACCAACAAGTTAAAGTGGCCTGACATTCCCCTACACTCTTTTTGCCCCCCCTTCTCTTTGATATGAGGGATTTCTCTGTTCCCCTCTTTAAGTGTGTGCTGCAGGGGAGCACGGCAGGGCCTTTGCAGTGGTGGCACCCCATGCGCAATAGCCTCCCTTGCTGCAAGATTGTCACAAGAGTGCCTGGGCTAAAATTGTCTATCAAAAACTTCACTCTTGTGGTTTATCACAACAGCTACTCACTTTGGGTTTTAGTAAAGCAAACAGTCTAATTTGTCAGCTCCTATGATAACGAGCGTCAGAACAACTTGGCCACAATAAGGAAATTCTGCCCGTGGTAAGACTATTTTCCACCTTCCCATTTCGACTCTCTGGCACCCTATCTGCATAACCTAGCAATTTTAAAATACAGACACGCTTTTGCTCTCGCAAGATTGAATGTATTGCCCTCGGCTGTACTTGAGGGACGATTCCAACAGATTCCTCACAAAAAATGCTTCTGTCCCTGTGGAGATGGCAGTACCGATTCGGTGGCACATGCCCTTCTGGCAGGCACTCTTTATAAAGACTTGAGGAATGAGGTTATCACCCCTCTTTTATTGTCCATTCCAGGTTGCCTGACCACTGCCACAGCATCCTTTCTCTTGGCAGATCAAGAGGAGCAGGTGACAGCAAATGTTGCAAGGTTTATATGTGGGGCAGTTGGCATAAGATCCACTATTTGACCATTGATTCAAAACCCTAAAATGTATTTTATATAATTGACTTTTTATTTCTGTATATCCTATTGTTGTTTCATTGCTATGGCTGATGCAAATAAAGATTCATTCATTCATTCAATAGCCCTCCCTTAGGAAAGCCTGCCTGGCCACCACATGGTGTGCCTTTTGGCAGCCAGCAGGAATTTCTGCTTGTCTTTGCTATGCGGGAAGGGAAGGGATTCTCCGACCACTGAACTCATCCTGCTGCCCAACAGATGCTCCTAATTCATGTGGTTGCTGAGGCTTGTGAGCTTTGCTTTTACAACTACAGGCCAGCACACATCTGGTCTCTCCCCCAGAGCTTCAAGGAGACCCACCGTCGATTTTGTTGGCAACCACGATGCAAGGGATCTGGGGGCGGAATTCCCGCAGCTCCTTGTACCAGCTGCTCAGGTTCTTGTAGGTGACCTTTCTCTGGACGTCAAAGACCTGGCAAGAGAGAGGGAAGAGCCCATTGCAGACACAGGTGGCACTCTGGCCTGAAATAGTCAAGAATCCAGTCCAAACCCCGGCAATGTAGGAATCACAGCTAAAGAATCCATTAAAGATGGCTATCCAACTTCTGCTTAGAAACCTCCAAGGGAGGAGAGTCCACCACCTTCCCAGGAAGCCCGTTCCACCATTGAATGACTCTTACAGCCAAAAAGTTTTTGGTGTTTCGCAACTTTGACCTGTTACAGGACCTTAGCCAGACCTTAGCAGAGCATATGCAGCGTTCCGAAAAGCAATCAGTTGCAGGCAGGATGGACGAAGCAGGAACAAAATGCTGCTACCAGTAACTTGTTTACTTAGAGGTGTTTATTATTAAAGCAGACTTCAAGTTACTATGTACAAGAACAGAACAGATACGGATCTTAACTAGCTCTCTCTTAACAAACGCCAAACGACTCCACACTGACCAACAACCTTTCCAGTCGGTTAGGTCATAAGTCATCATGCCTGTGTGAGACCTCAGCCAATGGTAGAGATGTATCTAAGGTCTCATATCTCCAGGCAGAATTACTCCTCTGCCCAGTACCCTTGGCTTTCGGCCAACTCTTAATTGACTTCGTGTGAAGCTGCACGCAGAAGAAAAATTTCAACACTCCCTCACAGCTCACACAGAGCAATTAACTTCTGAGCACATACAAAGTATTTCATCCAACTTTGCAAACCCAAACATTCACACATTTGCTTGTTTTTTACAAACAACAACGGTTTCGTCAAGATGTCAGCAATGTTTGACGTCCCCAAAAGTTTGACCTAATTATGGAATCACAGAGTTGGAAGGGACCCTGAAGATCATCTTGTCCAATCTCCTGCAATGCAGAAATTTGCACCCTCCCTATACAGGGATCAACTCGACCTAATGTTTAGTTGGAATCTCCCTTCTTGCAATTTGAAGCCACTGGTTTGGGTCCTCCCCACAGGAGCAGCAGAAGAGAGGGTAGGACCCGAACCAGTAACTTGAGGGGCTGGCTGGGGGGGGGGGCGCTGACGGTGGCGGAATTGCAGGGTCCAAATGCCTCCAGGGAAAAGCATGCTCTGCGGGAGCTAGCAGGAATGCCAAAGGCCTCCAGTCTTAAATGATGTCGTGTTTCGCAGCATGCGAAGAGTGATCCCCTGCCCCACGGCTGACCAAGACAAACCACACTGCAACAGACCCACAGCTGGGGCAACAGATGCCCCCTCCCAGCAACTGAGCTCTTGGGAGCTCCTTATTTATTCAATTTATATTTCACTCTTCCCTCCCAAAGGAGCTCACGTCGGCAAAGTGATTTTACTGCAGTATGGTTTCATGTTTTTATATTCTTGTAAACCACATGTTTATATGATACAGTTATATATAAATATTTTATATAAATAAATAAAATAAAAACACCAGTGATAAAACACGTAAAAATATATCTGAAAACACTTTAAAACAATCACAGTCTCCCATCCAATGGTTTTAGGACTGCCATCAAACACATGGGTAAAGAGGAATGTTTAAAAATTCTTCCCAGGAGTCAATATTACAGGAGGCAACCTCACCAGGGAGCCGTGGTTCCCAACGTGGGGAGCAATTAAATTGGGGGGGGGCAATTCGAGAATGAGTAATTAACAGTGAATGGCCTTTTAGGCTTCCATGTGAATATGAGTTTGCTTTTTGAATAAAAAGAATTATACGTCATGGGGGGGGGGCACCAGGAGTTTAGAAATGCTTAAGTGGGGCATGGCCAAAAAAAGGTTGGAAACCACTGCTGGGGAGGGAATTGCACCCATGGAAGGCCCTGGCACGGAAAGGGCTGATAAGCCCACCTCTAGCACTCAGGCTTCATGGTCGTAATGACCAGATACAGCGGTACCTTGGCTTTCGGACTTACATCAGTTTCAGGAGTCCGTTCAACTCCTGGAACTGTTTGAAAACTTCCTGCACTTAATTGGAAGCTGCGTCGGACATTTGGCTTCCAAAAAACGTTCACAAACCATCTACCCACACTGGAGGAATGGCAGATGAAAATGATGGACTACATGGAATTGGCGGAAATGACTGGTAGAATCCGAGACCAGGGAGAAGAGTCGGTGGAAGAAGATTGGAAGAAATTTAAAGACTACTTACAGAAATATTGTAAAATTAATGAATGTTAGAATGATGTTGGATTGAAGTTAAGTGGTTTCTAGCTGCAATGGTACAAAAGAATATGGAAAAATTGGTTTTCAATACGTAAAAACTTAATGTTATAATATATTAAGATTAAAGATTAGGATTAAAAAGGAGGGAAAGGAATTGCTGGACTAACAAATTGAATTGGAATACAAAAAAGGGAGGTATGAGGAGGTCCGGGAAACAAGTAAATGTAAGAGAAGTGATGAAAAGATGGAATTGTTTTTAACTGTTTTTTCTTTTTTGTACTTTGTATTTTTCTTTTTTCTATTGTTATTTTTTTTAATCAATGTAATCTTTTTCTTTTGAAATTTTAATAAATATCATTTAAAAAAAAAAAAAAAAAAGGTTCACAAACCGGGACACTCATGTCGGGTTTGCAGCGGCCTGGAGTCGATTTATTCAGGAGCCAAGCCATTTGACAACCAAGGTACCACTGTACCTTTTTAAAACAGCAGCCAAGATTTTTTCCCCCTGGACGTACATAATTCCACACAGGATTTCCTATTGTAGAATCCCGGCTCTGCAGAATACTCACATCCCATAACACGAGTTGCGTACGGAAGTCTAGGCTGACCCAGAACAAGCAGGGGGAAAGACGCAGCTCTGTGGGAGAGCTTGGCAAAGCACACACAGCCCGAGCCAAAGCCTTGCCCGAACTTCTCAAAGCCACACCAGGCTTCCCCGCTTCCAGCCTGCCACCCCTGGTGCCCCCTCTGCAGCCCCTGCCCAAAAGGCAGCCCACCCACTTACCATGATGCAGGCGTGAGCCTTGTAGTAGTAGGAAGCATGCATGCTCTGGAAGCGCTCCTGCCCAGCCGTGTCCCAGAAGTCTGAAAAGCAGGAATGGCCCACGGCTGCATTAACCATAGCGGGGAAGAAAGCTGCACATCTAGCTTACCCAGGGGTTTAGAAAGTTGATGCAGGGTTTAATCTGCTCCCAGCCTATCTTAACTTTTAAAGTTAGCGCTGAGGTCACTTTGTGATAATTCTATCGCTTTACATTTCTTGGAAACCGGAAATCCCTCTGAGGTTTTCTGATGATCAAAGTGGTGTGCAAATGAATAAATAAAGGAATAAATCTCTAGATCAGCGGTTCTCAACCTGTGGGTCCCCAGATGTTGTTGGACTACAACTCCCATCATCCCTGAGCTCTGACCTTGCTAGCTAGGGGAGATGGGAGTTGTAGTTTAACAACATCTGGGGACCCACAGGCTGAGAAAGGCTGCCCTAGAGACAAGCACACTCTGGTCACAGAATGCTTCTTGAGAGTTTAGCAGGTGAAGGAGGATGTAGAAGCTCTTCCTCCATCGCAAAGGGCCACAGGAAAACAAGGCTTCCTATCTGTGATCTACCTGGCTTATATTTTCCTGACCCTAGCTAGCCCACCCCTGGTAGCCCACTACTGGGCGCGGGGGGGGGGGGGAGAGGAAGCAAAGAAAATTTAATATCTCACTGAACTTCTGCATTTACTCCCCGATGAAGAGCCTGAGTAAACCAAAACTCACTGGATGCGAAACTTTTTCTCTTACCTGCTTTGCTTTCTGTGCTCCCCCTCCCACCAAAAAAAAAAAAAACTTGCCCAGGGTTTCCTCTTCTTATTATGTATTTCAAAAAAATTATGCGCTGCTTGATTATAAAACAAACAAACCTCAAAGCGGCTTGCAAAAAACTTAACAAGAGAAGTTAAGAATAATTTGAGACTTTTGAAAAGTGAAAATAACAATAGGCTAAAAACATATTAAAACTCACATCAACTGGGTTTTTAACATCTACATGCAGCCGCTGGGAGAGATCATCATGGGGTTTGGGCTGGGTGTTCACCAGTATGCGGATGACACCCAGCTCTACCTCTCTTTCAAATCAGAACCAGTAAAGGCAGTGAAGGTCCTGTGTGAGTGCCTGGAGGCAGTTGGAGGATGGATGGCGGCTAACAGATTGAGGTTGAATCCTGACAAGACAGAAGTACTGTTTTTGGGGACAGGGGGTGGGTGGGTATGGAAGACTCTCTGGTCCTGAATGGGGCAACTGTACCCCTGAAGGACCAGGTGCGCACCCTGGGAGTCATTTTGGACTCCCAGCTGTCCATGGAGGGGCAGATCAGTTCTGTGTCCGTAGCAGCTGCCTACCAGCTCCATCTGGTATGCAGGATGAGACCCTCCCTGCCCGCGGACTGTCTCACCAGAGTGGTGCATGCTCTGGTTATCTCCTGCTTGGACTACTGCATTGCACTCTACAAGGGGCTACCTTTGAAGCTGACCCAGAAGCTACAACTAATCCAGAATGCGGCAGCTAGACTGGTGACTGGGAGTGGCCGCCAAGACCATATAACACCGGTCCTGAAAGACCTACATTAGCTCTTAGTACGTTTCCGAGCACAATTCAAAGGGTTGGTGCTGACCTTGAAAACCCTAAACGGCCTCGGCCCAGGATACCTGAAGGAGCATCTCCACCCCCATCGTTCTGCCCGGACACTGAGGTCCAGCGCCAAGGGCCTTCTGGCGGTTCCCTCGCTGTGAGAAGCCAAGTTACAGGGAACCAGGCAGAGGGCCTTCTCGGTAGTGGCACCCACCCTGTGGAACGCCTTCCCACCAGATGTCAAAGGAATAAACAACTATCTGACATTCAGAAGACATCTGAAGGCAGCCCTGTTCAGGGAAGTTTTTTAATGACTGATGTTTTAACGTATTTTTAATCTTCTGTTGGAAGCCACCCAGAGTGACTGGGGAAACCCAGCCAGATGGGCGGGGTATAAGTAATAAATTATTATTATATTATTATAATGCTAAATACATCATAAATGAGCCACCATAGCTGCTAGAGGACCATGAACATTTGTGTCCCAAGCTTTTTAGACTTGTCGAAACGCAGGTGGCGCTGTGTGTTAAACCACAGAGCCTAGGACTTGCCGATCAGAAGGTCGGCGGTTCCAATCCCCACGACGGGGTGAGCTCCCGTTGCTTGGTCCCTGCTCCTGCCAACCTAGAAGTTCGAAAGCACGTCAAAGTGCAAGCAGATAAATAGGTACTGCTCCGGCGGTAAGGTAGACGGCGTTTCCGTGCGCTGCTCTGGTTCGCCAGAAGCGGCTTAGTCATGCTGGCCACATGACCCGGAAGCTGTATGCTGGCTCCCTCGGCCAATAAAGCAAGATGAGCGCCGCAACCCCAGAGTCGGCCACGACTGGACCTATCGGTCAGGGGTCCCTTTACCTTTACCCATGTATGAAACCCAAGGGGCATACTGGTTGCCACATGTCATTTCCCTCCCCAGCTCTCCTACTACCCCACTAAATTTTGCATGAATCCACTTGGAGGTTTTCTGATCTGACAGGGGCAAGACGCAAGCAGCTTCCCCCTGAGCAGGTGCTGCTCCGAAAGGGAGTTTGAGAGACCCCAGTTCCCGAGTCCCACGGGGCCCAAAGATCCCCTGCCCAGCAAGGCTCTCACCCACGAGGATCGTCTTGCCATCCACGGTGGCTGTATGCTTGTAGAGTGTCAGGGCGAAGGTGGAGAGCTGGTGAGGCTTGCTGCGGGTGCGAGTCAAGGCGCCTTTCAAGCAATGTCACCGTTTTTTAATCTAACCGAGAAACCTCATTTCAGACGGCCATCATTTCACCATTAAGCAACAGATGCAGCCGTCAGCTACGTGCCAGGACACCTCCCTGCCCTTTTATTGCTTATTTATTTTATTTACCTACCGCTCTACATCAAAAGATTTCAGGGCGGTTCACGGAATAAATGCAGGATAAAAACAAGTAAGTGAAACAAAACAGCAAAACTATAATGCCCCCCCCCCCGACACATTTAAAAGGCTGTAGAATATTAATCCGCCAAAACCCTGGTTGAAGAAAAATATTATAAGCAAAATGACTATTAGGTATTTAAACCATTTCCGCTCCCTATCAAAGAAAAGTGTCCGCCCAAAACACCTAATACTTCATTAATTAATATAAGAGAAGCTTATATTATACACCTATTGCTCAGGTGAGGGGGTTCACTTAAAAGGTGAAACTAATATATGAGATATCACACTTATAGCAAATAAAGGCTTGACATATCTCGCTTTGCATGTCATGAGTCTATCTCATATATTAGTTTCACCTTTTAAGTTGAATTACTGAAATAAATGAACTTTTCCACGCTATTCTAATTTTTCGAGTTTCAGCTGTATGTGGGGGAGGTGTATACAGTATGCAAAAATGGATAAGCTGCAGACAGAATTGTAGAAGGGACCCTGGGGGTCATCAAGTCCAACCCTCTGCAATGCAGGAATTACGCAGCTCTCCCATATGGGGATCAAACCTGCAACCTTGGCATTATCAGCGTCGCAATCTAACCCAGGTTTTCCCAAACTTGGGTCTCCAGCTGTTTTGGGACTACAATTCCATTCCCATCATCCCTGATGACTGGTTGTGCTAGCAAAGGATGATGGGAGTTGTAGTCCATAAAGCAGCTGGAGGCCCAAGTATGGAAACTGCTCTAACCAATAAGAGCCGTTGCCGTGAGTGCAAGGGAGTTTTAATCTCAAACAAGCAAAGGAATTAAATGCCGCCAACACCCCCACCCCTTTCTGGGCTGCAGTCTGTGTAAGTTTGCAAGATCTCAAAGGATACAACCCATCCAGGAGAAAGCGTTCCATTAACCTGAAAGAGAAGGAAACAGAAACCTAGTGAGGAACGGGCCCGTTCAGAAAAATCAAAGAGGTGTAAAGATAAAAAGGCTTTTTTGGCCACACTCTGCATCCTCCATTCTGAGCTGCGCCAGAGAATAAGGTCTCTTTGGCTACTTGCCACAATGCCTATGCTCTACCTCTGGGGCCAATGGGAGATGTAGTCCGAAACCAGGGCCAGATTTACGTATAAGCTAAACAAGCTATAGCTTAGGGCTCCACTCTCTTGGGGACCCCCAAAAATTTGAAAGGCAAAAAACCTGAATGTACACTTCCAAAATAGAAGATGAAAAACCAATAAAATGAAAGCTATATGCAGCAAGTCTGTTGTGTTGTGTAGGCTCCTGTGATGCAAGTCATGGGCCCCGCCTGCTAGCCTGCTCCCTAAAATATCGCTGGTTGAATATATTTCTTCTTAATTGTATTTCACTATTAATATACAGTGGTACCTCTGGATACGCACACCTCTGGTTGCGTATCCTTCAGGATGCAGATGCAGCAAACCCAGAAGTATTTTTCCGGGTTTCGCCGTGCGCGCATGTGCAGAAGCGGTCCTTCCGGTTGCGGAAACCTCGGGATCCAACCAGAGCTCCGGAACGGATCCTGTCCGCAACTGGAGGTACCACTGTACTACTTCTTAATTGTATTTCAGTTCAACAATTACTTTGATAAAATACGTATTTTGTGATGTGCAAATGGCTTTAGATACCTATTAGGTCCATAAATGACCACATAGCATATATTCAACACACAAAAACAGCAGCAATTTGTTGTTGGCAAAGGACAGCCGGACACAGAAAGGGCCCCATTACCTTCAGGAGCTTAGGGCCTCATCAAACCTAAATCCGGCCCTCTCCAAAACACAGAGAGGGTGCCATATATCTATGCTGCCCGTCCAAAGAAAACCTCTGTAAAGGAAATGGAAACGTCAGCGACGGAAGCAAAGCGCAGAACCTCTGGGCGGGAATAGATAAGCCAGATATCCTTTGGGACTTTTTCTCGGCCACTCACTTGGACTTCCCCACTGCGCTGTCCCCAAGGCAGATAATCTTCACGTTCTCATCAGCGTCGTATTTCTCCTGATCCAGCTCCAGACTGGCGTCTCCATCGGCCATCTCCTCGGCCATCAGGCTTTGGCAGGATCAGCGCGACACCTGTAAGGCCAGAGGGACAACGGTGGAACTCTGAATCCTATTACGCCTGGTACCTGGCAACCCTCTTTTCCATTGGTAGGCAGACTAAGGCCCGGGGGCGAATCCGGCCCAATCGCCTTCTAAATCTGGCTCGCGGATGGTCCGGGAATCAGCGTGTTTCTATATTAGTAGAATGTGTCCTTTATTTAAAATGCATCCCTGGGTTATTTGTGGGGCATAGGAATTCATTCTTCTTTTCTTCAAAATATAGCCCAGCCCCACACGTCTGAGGGACAGTGGACCGGCCCCCTGCTGAAAAAGTTTGCTGACCCCTGGCATCTTTTCCCTGCCCAGACTGGAGCTTGCCACAGGGCAAAGGAGATGCCAAATGCTCCAGTCAGGGTTAGATTTTACCGGATTTCTAAAGTATCGAAGTGATTTAGACTCAATTTTTTTATTTGAAATGGCAATATTAATTGATAATGAAATTAAAGAATATCACAGCTTGCTAAGAGCAATAGGCAAACAGCCTTTGCAATCTAAAAGACATGGCACAAAAGGGAAACAAATTAAATTGATTAGGTTTTCCATGGCTTTTCCCACTAAGAATGTCTGGAGGCAATTTACAATCAATCACATGCGCACACACGCACACACACACTTTAATAAAATTGCATAAATGATATTACTGCATTTATAGAAGATTTAATTTTGCAAGCATGTCACTGGTGCAGACCCAGTGCCAAATGGCAGCCCTTTTATTGTTTATATATTTGCTGGAACCTGCCTGGGTAGAATGACTGAGGCAACCCCATCCTATGCCCTTTTAAAATGTGGCTTCTTTGGGGGGCGGGGGGGGGGACACGTTACCGGATTGTTGTTTTTATCTTGATTTTATATATTGTGGTTTTTATAAATAAATAAAAAAATAAAAATAAACCCAGTCAGATGGGTGGGGATACAAATAACAACATTATTATTACTATTATTATTAGCATCTAGGGGTCCCACTACCAAGCCTGATGCTGTTTTGAGAAGTTGTTAATGTTTTATTGTGCCTTTAATTCTATTGGGAGCCACCCAGAGTGACTGGGGAAACCTGGCCAGATGGGCAGGGTATAAATAAATAAATTAGTAGTAGTATCAGTGCTTTTTTTCTTTAAAAAAATGTTTAGGAGACTCTCATTTTCCGACTCATATTGAAATACTGCCTGTCGATGAGGCCAAACTTAGATTCACAAAATGTTTAGGGGTATCCATACCCCTGCGTCCCCCCAGAAAAAAGCACTGATTATTATTATTATTGATCGCTGGCACCACCACCAGTCAGGACCACCTGTGCGTCATGGGCACAGGCATGTAGTGCCCACCTGGCACCAGAATGAGCCCCCCCAAAAAACCAGGCATCTTTCCTGGCTCTGCTGCACCCCATTATTATTATTATTATTATTATTATTAATCGCTGGCACCACCACCAGTCAGGACCATCTGTGGATCATGGGCACAGGCATGCAGTGCCCACCTGGCACCAGAATGAGCCCCCCAAAAAACCAGGCATCTTTCCTGGCTCTGCTGCACCCCATTATTATTATTATTATTATTATTATTATTAATTGCTGGCACCACCACCAGTCAGGACCACCTGTGCGTCATGGGCACAGGCATGTAGTGCCCACCTGGCACCAGAATGAGCCCCCCAAAAAACCAGGCATCTTTCCTGACTGTGCTGCACCCCATTATTATTATTATTATTATTATTATTAATCGCTGGCACCACCACCAGTCAGGACCACCTGTGCGTCATGGGCACAGGCATGCAGTGCCCACCTGGCACCAGAATGAGCCCCCCAAAAAACCAGGCATCTTTCCTGGCTCTGCTGCACCCCATTATTATTATTATTATTATTATTAATCGCTGGCACCACCACCAGTCAGGACCACCTGTGCGTCATGGGCACAGGCATGCAGTGCCCACCTGGCACCAGAATGAGCCCCCCAAAAAACCAGGCATCTTTCCTGGCTCTGCTGCACCCCATTATTATATGTGTTGTGTGTTATTAATCGCTGGCACCACCACCAGTCAGGACCACCTGTGCGTCATGGGCACAAGCATGTAGTGCCCACCTGGCACCAGAATGAGCCCCCCAAAAACCAGGCATCTTTCCTGGCTCTGCTGCACCCCATTATTATTATTATTATTATTATTATTATTAATCGCTGGCACCACCACCAGTCAGGACCACCTGTGCGTCATGGGCACAAGCATGTAGTGCCCACCTGGCACCAGAATGAGCCCCCCAAAAAACCAGGCATCTTTCCTGGCTCTGCTGCACCCCATTATTATTATTATTCTTATTATTATTTGCTGGCACCACCACCAGTCAGGACCACCTGTGCGTCATGGGCACAGGCATGCAGTGCCCACCTGGCACCAGAATGAGCCCCCCAAAAAACCAGGCATCTTTCCTGGCTCTGCTGCACCCCATTATTATTATTATTATTATTATTATTAATTGCTGGCACCACCACCAGTCAGGACCACCTGTGCGTCATGGGCACAGGCATGCAGTGCCCACCTGGCACCAGAATGAGCCCCCCAAAAACCAGGCATCTTTCCTGGCTCTGCTGCACCCCATTATTATTATTATTATTAATTATTATTATTATTATTGGCTCTTTGCACCCCTCCCTTTGCCTGCCTCTAGTAGGGCAGCCCCCCTGCCCATAGGGGACCAGCAGAGACACCCCCCAAACTGGGGGGGGGTTTAATCTCCCCACCTCCTAAGGAGAGCAGCAGACCCCCCCCCCAATTCTGCCCCCCTTGCAAAGCAAAACACCCCCCCCCCGAGCCGGTTCCTCGGTGCCCCCCCGGCGGGCAAAGCGGAGCGGGCCTTCCCCCCCGCGCCCCCGCACCTCTCCGGCCCCCCGAGGAAGAGGGAGGCGCCTTCTTCGCCCCCGCCCAGGCGCCGCCTCGCCGGGCACAGAGGCTACGCGAGGCCGGGGCGCCCGCGCGGGAAGGTAGGCCTCGCCGGAGGAAGAGACGGAGCGCCGCGTCGCCAAGGAGACCGAGGAGGGAGGGAGGGAGGAGGAGGAAGAGGAGGAGAGAGGAAGGAAGGAAGGAAGGAAGGAGGAGGGAGATGCAGCCGCCGCCGGGGACAGGCAGGTACCGGAGCAGGATGAGGCCTCCTCCCTCCCCCCCCCCGGGCAGGATCCTCTCGCCCCCCAAGAGACCTCTCCCCCCTCGAAAGCACAAAGACCCCCCTCTCCCTCACCCCCCCGCCAGCCCCACTCACGAGGGGGGGGCCACCCTCCTGGCTTGGCTTCAGAGCGGAGGGGGAAAGCCCTCTGCCTTCTTTCCCTCCTTCCTTCCTTCCATCCATCCTTCTTTCCTTCCTTCCTTCCCTTCCCTTCTTCCTTCGTTCCTTCCCTTCCCTTCCCCTTCTTCTTTCCATCCTCCCATCGCCCTTCCATCCTTCCCTTCCCACCCCGCTCTTCCTCTTACTCTCTCTCCCTCCCTCCTTCCTTCTTTCCTTCCTTCCTTCCATCCCTTCTTCCTTTCCTTCCCTTCTTCCTTCGTTCCTTCCCATCCCTTCCCCTTCTTCTTTCCATCCTCCCATCCGCCCTTCCATCCTTCCCTTCCCACCCCGCTCTTCCTCTTACTCTCTCTCCCTCCCTCCTTCCTTCTTTCCATCCCCCCTCCCTCACCCCCCCCCCGCCAACCCCACTCACGAGGGGGGAGGAATTGGGGGCCCCCACCCCCGTGGCTTGGCTTCAGAGCGGAGGGGAAAACCCCTCTGCCTTCTTTCCCTTCTTCTTTCCATCCATCCTTCTTTCCTTCCTTCCATTCCTTCTTCCTTCCCCTTCCCTTCTTTTCATCCTCCCTTCCATCCTTCCCTTCTCTTCCCACCCCACTCTTTCTCTCTCTCTCTCCCTCCTTCCTTCTTTCCATCCTCCCATCCGCCCTTCCATCCCCCGCTCCCTCACCCCTGCAACCCCACTCACGAGGGGGGAGGAATTGGGGGCCCCCACCCCCGTGGCTTAGCTTCAGAGCGGAGGGGAAAACCTCTCTTTCCCTCTTTCCTTCCTTCCTCCCTCACTTCCATCCTTCCCTTCCCACCCCTCTCTTCCCTTCCTTCCTTCCACCCCTTTTTCCTTCCCTTTCCCTTCCCTTCTTCTTCTTTCCAACCTCCCATCCGCCCTTCCATCCTTCCCTTCCCACCCCACTCTTCCTCTTACTCTCTCTCTCTCTCCTTCCTTCCTTCCTTCCTTCCTTCCTTCCTTTCTTCTTCTGGTGCCCTCCCACCAGGTGCCAAGGGGATCAGTGAACCGCCCTGAGACCTGCAGGTATAGGGCACATAGCTGTCAACTTTCAGATTTGAAAAGAAGGGATCAACAGCCTCAAAAGAAGGGATCAGCAGCCTCACCTGTCCCAGGGACAGTCTATGGGGTATCTAACAATCCGGGATAGCAGCGGGAAACAGCGCGGGAATAAGGGAATTTCCTGCAAAAAAAAAAGGGAAGGTTGACAGCTATGATAGGGCAGTAGACAAATTCAAACAACAACCACCTTCAGAAGACATTTGAAAGCAAATCTGTACTGGGAAGTGTTTTGGATTTTTTTTAGAAAAAATGTTTAATGTTTCATTATGCTTTTATATTTGCTGGGTGACTCCTCTGCATCCTACAATATCTGGAGCAGAACTGCCCATCTCTGTGCACCATTGCTTTTTATATTACTTATTTATTCAGTTCATGTCCCACCTAAAAGAGCAATAATAATAATAATAATAATAATAATAACAGTAATAATAATAGAATTTGTTGTTATTGTATTGTATTGTTTTGCTTGCTTTACTTTGATGTACTTTGTACAAAATGTAGGAACTCAATACATACAAATTTTAAGAGAAGGGTAATATTTTTTGAAATGTAGGGTCCCCCACCCACCCACTATGGACCTGCTTGCCACCAACATTGCAAAAAAGATTACAATTATTATTATTATTATTATTATTATACCGCCCTATACCCACAGGGTAGGCCACAGCATAAAATCACAAAGAAATAATAACGTGTTAGCTCCTACAAATAATCTTTTTACAAATAATAAAGATTTACAAAACTAAAAGCATTCTCCACCCGCTGTGAGTCCCATCATTACTTAGAATAAATGTTTCATATAGTCTTAAATGAGCCAGACATTTTGCATACACGGAAGGCACTGATTGACTTCCATGTGCCTCAATATCTAATTCCCACACCTTCAAGGAACATGGGGTGCCCCTAATACGCCCCCTGTTTTCATCCTTTCAACAGCTCCTTGTATATTAATTCAGGAATCTTTAACCCAGCCTGGTAGAGCATGGGCAGCCAGGGCAGAATTTTGAGCACCCGACAGCTGAGACTTGTGTCCTCTTGCTGGCTGTTCAGTGCTCTCCAAATCTTGCCCTTCTTTTATTTATTTTCAATTTTTTGGTCTTTATTTCCCTCCAAGGAGTTCAAAGTGGCACACACGGTTCTCCCCAATCCCCAGAACCCTTTGAGGGAGGCTGGAGAGGCAGTGTCTGGCCCGAGGTTGCCCATTGAGCTTCATGGCTGGCCGGGGATTCGAACCCTGGTCTCCCAGGGCCTAGTTGGACACTCTCTAACCACTACACTGCACTGACCTGACTTTATATTGCCAGGCTGATGCTTTGGGGACGGGCCACCATGAGACGGACAGACAGAGCACCTGCCAGCCCCACCCAGGGCATGGGAAACCAGTGAGCAGGATGAGGGCCGGTCTGCATGCTCCACGGCGGGTCCTGCAACTCACCCTTGCCATCATCAAGCCTGATGCCGTGGCTCACCCTCTCTTCCTCGAGGTAAGGACCAAAGAAGGTAAGGAGAGCCTGCAGGATCGGGCCAATGGCTCTTCCAGCTTCCTGTTCACACAGTGGCCGACCAAATGCCCCAAAGCGAAACCCACAAGTAGGACATGAACACAGCTAAAAGGTAAAGGACCCCTGGATGGTAAATCCAGTCAAAGGCGACTATGGGGTGCGGCGCTTATCTCGCTTTCAGGCCAAGGGAGCCGGTGTTCGTCCGCAGACGGCTTTCCAGGTCATGTGGCCAGCAGGACTAAACTGCTTCTGGAGCAACGGGACACCATGACGGAAACCAGAGTGCATAGAAACGCCGTTTACCTTCCCGCCACAGTGGTACCTATTTATCTACTTGCACTTTTTGGTGTGCTTTCGAACTGCTAGGTTGGCAGGAGCTGGGACTGAGCAACGGGAGCTCACCTCATTGTGGGGATTTGAACCGCTGACTTTCCGATCGGAGGGGGTCTACTTTGAAGGCCTATTAGCAGGGCCGTCTTAACCATAGGCGCCAGGGGTGCCAGGCTGAGATTCCAGGGCCCGAGAGTTGGAGCTAAGTTAAGAAGAACAGCGTGTAGTAATAAATTATTATTATTATTATTATTATTATTAATTTCTATACAGTAGTACCTCGGGTTAAGAACTTAATTCGTTCCGGAGGTCTGTTCTTAACCTGAAACTGCTCTTAACCTGAAGCACCACTTTAGCTAATGGGGCCTCCCGCTGCCGCTGCACGATTTCTGTTCTCATCCTGAAGCAAAGTTCTTAACCCGAGGTACTGTTTCTGGGTTAGCAGAGTCTGTAACCTGAAGCGTCTGTAACCCGAGGTACCACTGTACTGCTATATGTTTTAAAGAAAAAAATCTCAAAGAGGTTTACATTAAAACATCAAACAAAACAATCCAGAATAAAACAAATTAAATGTTGATTTCCCCTCAAGGTTTTCCATTGCTGGGCTGTTGAAATCCCAGCTGCAGTTCACATCCATGTCAGAAGCTCTTGCGTGTTGTTGGTCCACATATTCAGCAGTGACAGTTGGGGGGGGGGAGAGGCCTGAACAGGTGATTTAATTATTTTAGATGCTTTCTGCTCCAATATTTCACAGTTGCCACACCCCGAAGGAGAGACCTAGAGGGGCAATTTGCCCTTTGTGTCTTTCCCTTTGGGGCTGCCCCACTGTCTGGCATTAGAAATAACTCTGAGCAGCTGCTTACGGAGCAGTTCCAGAGCATAGCTGCCAACTGTCCCTTATTTGACGGGACAGTCCCTTATCCCAGCGCTGTGTCCCGCTGCTGTCCCTTATTGATGATGTCCCTTAAATTTCCCAGGTTTCAAAGGAAGCAGCTCCTCTCCCTCCCCCCCCTGCCGGCCAGGGAGGAGGGAGGCTCCAACTGTGTTGCTTGGCTGCGTTGCTCACCCAATAAGGAGTCTCAGAACGACTGGGGGGTGGAGCTTGCATGCCTTGTGCCGATCAAATCGGCCGCGTTGCCTGGGGACTCGCCTTTGCTCAGCGCTTCCCAGCGGAGAGATGACGGTGGTTTTCCTTGCTGCATCCGCTTTGCCGGGTTGCTGCGCTGTGGGAACCACCGCTTGAGGCTTCGTTTGGCTGCTGGCTGGGCTTTCTGCTTTTGGCTCGGAGGGGCTGAGAAGTTGAACCTACCTGTGCTCTGAAAATCCCTTATTTTGACTGCTGATCCCTTATTTTCGAGGCTGCTGGTCCCTTATTTTCAAATCGGTAAGTTGACAGCTATGTTCCAGAGAGCTTTGCCATGAGATACGCTCAAGGTTGTGGCCACTGGATTCGAACCTGGCTCCCAAGGCTGCAAAAAGTCTCCCCACTGCCCCTCCTGTCCGTCTCCTTGTCTGTAGCGTTGGCTTCAGAGCGACTCGTCCTCTTCTCTTCCCAGGCTGTGCACCAGATCATCCTGAACAACCGGTTATTGATCGTCAGGAGCAAGGATGTGACGTGGAGCAGGCAGGAGAGCCAGAAGTTCTACCAGGAACACTCAGGTCAGGACCACCCCCCCAAAAAATACCCCATTGCTAAGTCCAGGAAGTAGGTGGGGACAGCAGAGAATCCAGGAAGGGGCACTTAGCTGGCTCTAATCCAGGGGAAACATGGAAGCTGTTTCCTTACTTAGAATCACAGAATTTTAGAGTTGGAAGGGACCCCCAAAGGTCCTGTAGTTCAACCCTTTGCAATGCAGGAATGTCAGCTCAGACGCCCATGACAGATGCAACTCATGGCAGTTACCCACTGGTCCATGCAGCTAGCGGGGCAAGTTAGGAGCCCACTGCAGGTACACAAAGAAATATTATTATTATTATTATTATTATTAGTGATATTTGCACTGCAGGTGGTTGGACTAGATGAATCTTTGGGTCCCTTCCACTTCTATGGTTTTATTTTTTTTAAAACAATACTTTTTAATAGTTTCCAATGACAAGAATCCAAAAGACACCTCATTATATCCATGTCAAATCACAATACCAAATCAAATATCAATTAATCAAATATCCAGTTGTATCATTTTGGGCCGTCCGCCCCCCCCCCCCGCAAGCTAGAATTACAGGTTTATTTATTTATTTATTTATTTATTCTGCTTCCAAAGCGATACGATACAATAATCTTTAATGTCATTGTCCTATACAGAACAATGAAATTGAAAAAAATCTACATCAGACATTCAAAAACCAGCAAGCCTACTATCCCAGCTATCCCAGCCTGGTTAACCCCCTAAAAACTCTGATACCCCATAACTAAATACAATATACTCCCATACAGACTACCTTACACTGCGTTTAAAACCAGTTGTATTACAATCGTAATAGTAATTCACTCAACAGCTGCAGTGTTTATAACTTCTACCCGTATTAACACATTTAATAATCCACCTCTGTGGTTCTGTTATTACAGTGGTGCCTCGCAAGACGAAATTAATTCGTTCCGCGAGTTTTGTCGCCTTGCGATTTTTTTCGTCTTGCGAAGCACGGTATCGGGAAAGTTTTGGAAAAGCTTCAAAAATCACCAAAGTCTTTAAAAACCTCATAAAAGGCTACCACACCGCGTTCTATGAGTTGCTCCTCGAAGTCAAGTCGCAAATGTATTAACGGTGTTAAGAAAAAGGAAACAAACTTGCAAGACGTTTCCGTCTTGCGAAGCAAGCCCATAGGGAAAATCGTCTTGCGAAGCAGCTCAAAAAACAAAAAACCCTTTCGTCTAGCGAGTTTTTTGTCTTGCAAGGCATTCATCTTGCGAGGTACCACTGTATGATCAATCACCCGCCCCGCACCCAAAGGTCTCAGGGCAGGCTGCAACATTGAAATGCAATCTTGTGGGCTCTCCTTCCATGGAGGTTTCCAAGCAGAGGTTGGATGGCCATCTGTCAGGGATGATTTAGTTGAGACTCCTGCATTGCAGGGGGTTGGACTAGATTACCCTCGTGGGTCCCGTTAAACTCTACAGTTCTGTGATTCTGTGGTCTTGAACATAGTTTAGAACAACTTACGAGCTCGCATGGCCTTGCCTCCTGCCCATCACGCGCGATGTCCTTGATACAGGTTACGAGAAGTGTCCTACATGGAATTAATGCATCCAAGTAGGAACTGTGTCTTGTCTGGGGTAGATGTGAAACTTTTCGTGTGGAGCCTAGGAAGCTGGCTTTTATTGAGTCCAAGGGCCGGATTTTGGTTTGATGAGGCCCTAAGCTACTGAAGGGCCCTTGATATGTCCAGCTGTCCTTTGTCAACAACAAATTGCCGCTGTTTTTGTGTTGTATATATGCTATATGGTAATTGATGGACCTCATAGGTATCTCAAGCCATTTGCACGTGTTGCCCTGCAACCCGTCCATGCAGAATGTAGGCACCCTATATATAGAAAGGAGCAAACCAGGGATATTTTAGGGAGCAGGCGAGTAGGCAGGGCCCATTACTTACATCCTAGGAGCCTACACAACACAAAACACTCTTGTTGTATGTAGGTTTTATTTTTATTGGTTTTTCATTTTATATTTTGGAAATGTACATCCAGGTTTTTTTCCTTTCAATTTTTGGCGGGGCCCCAAGAGAGTGGGGCCTTAAGCTATAGTTTGTTTAGCTTATACATAAACCCGGCGCTGCTGAGTCAGACCATCAGAGCATCTCATGCAAAGCTGCCAACCCTCACTGGCAGCATTTGCACGCCAGGGTTTTAGGTAGGAATAATAATAATAATAATAATAATAATAATAATAATAATAATTTATTATTTATACCCTGCCCATCTGGCTGGGTTTCCCCAGCCACTCTGGGCAACTCCCAACAGAATATTAAAAATAGAATCAAACATTAAAAACTCCCCTGAACAGCCTTTAGATGTCTTCTGAATGTCTGGTACAGTGGTGCCTCGCAAGACGAAATTAATCCGTTCCGCGAGTGGCTTAGCGGCTATTAGCGGCTTAGCGGCTACTAACGGCTTAGCGGCTTAGCAGCTTAGCGGCTATTAACGGCTTAGCGGCTTTAAGAAAAAGGAAACAAACTCGCAAGAACTCGCAAGACGTTTCGTCTTGCGAAGCAAGCCCATTGGGAAATTCGTCTTGCAGAACGACTCAAAAAACGGAAAACTCTTTCGTCTAGCGAGTTTTTCGTCTTGCGAGGCATTCGTCTTGCGGGGCACCACTGTAGTTCTTTTTCTATTTGACATCTGCCGGGAGGGCGTTCCACAGGGTGGGTGCCACCACCGAGAAGGCCCTCTGCCTGGTTCCCTGTAACTTTGCTTCTCGCAGGGAGGGAACCGCCAGAAGGCCCTCGGAGCTGGACCTCGGTGTCCGGGCTGGACGATGGAGTCTCTCACGACCTTACCTGGAGATTGAATTTGAGATCTTCTTCATTAAAGGCAGGCACTCTGAACTGGGGCCCTTCTTCAAGAGTCTGTGCTTGGGACCATGGTGTCCTTCAAGAGATGGCTTGGAAGTCACATGAGACAGGAAGGCTCTTGCAGTTTGTACACAGCTCAGGTGGAGAACCCCCAGTGGCCCTTCTGGCGTCTGGGACTACAGATCCCATCAGCCCTGGCTGGGGCAGATGGGAGTTGGAGTCCAGCTCTGGTGTGCTACCCATGGTGTGCATAGGGAAAGGACGGCAGTAACTCCCGGGAAGGGTGCTCTCAGGACCTCTCCCAGAAGCGTGCGTTGGTCTCAGGGCTCTCGGTCTCTTTTTCAGGGCGTTTCTTCTACCAGAGGCTGGTGGAATTCATGGCCAGGTATGTCCGCGGCAGTTGTATACCTTTTAATTAAATGAGATTTTTCAAGGAAACAAAAATTGCGTAAGAAAATACAAAACACATAAGACATAACGGAGGCTGGTGGGAGTTGTAGTTCAAAACATCTGGATAATACCAGGTTGGTGCCCTAATTTATTATTATTATTATTACTATTATTATTTCCATTTCTATACCACTTTATATTTTAAAGAACAAATCTCTCTTTTTTTGAAATCATTTTTATTTGGTTTTTACAATGGAAAATTATATTTTAAAAATTCAATTACATATCCATATGAAGAGATTCCTCTGAGTCTCAGGATTTCTCCCCCTCCTTCCCTGGAGTCCCCTTTAAATCATTTAAAACTGCATCTTCTCCAAACTCTACAACTATTATATCATTCCATGTTTTCCATGGTAATTGTTACACTACAAGTGAAATCAAAATCCTGCCAGTGTTTCCATCTGCTTATGGCGGCCTCTTTAAAAAGTTGTAAATTTCCCCCATTCTTTTATAAAGTTTTTGTCCTCTCGGTTCCTGAGTTTTCCAGTCAGCTTTGGCATTTCAGGACAGTCCACCAGCTTGGTTTGCCATTAACGAACAAATCTCAACGTGGTTTACAACACCTGGATAACTCAGTCGGGTAAAGCATGGTGCTGATAATCCCAAGTTTGCAGGTTCGATTCCCATGTGGGACGGCTGCATATTCCTGCATTGCTGGGGGGTTGGAGTAGAAGTGGTGTCCAAACATTTTTCAAAGAGGGCCAGATTTGATGAAGTGAAGGGCTGTGAGGGCCGACCGAAGGGCCAGCCAAAGTTGTTAGCCTTTTTTTGGATTGAACTTGTTGAGGTTTTTTTTAGCATTGAAGTTGTTGAGGTTTGTTTAGGATTTTACCCCAGGAAATAAAATGCCACAGGGGCCAAATTAAACTGACTGGACCGGATTAGGCCCCCAAAACAGGCCTTGGACATGCCTGGGTCTAACTCTGCAATTCTATCTATGGAATCATCAGATAAAACAACCCAGACTAAAACTAACTTTCTTTCTTTCTTTCTTTCTTTCTTTCTTTCTTTCTTTGCACATTAAAATGCTTAGCAAATATACAGCTTGAGCATAGGCAGAGAGAAATTAAACCATGAGTAGGCTACCTAAGGTCCATGGGCCGGATCCGGCCCAATCGCCTTCTAAATCCGGCCCGCAGACGGTCTGGGAATCAGCGTGTTTTTACATGAGTAGAAAGTGTCCTTTTATTTAAAATACATCTCTGGGTTATTTGTGGGGCCTGCCTGGTGTTTTTACATGAGTAGAATGTGTGCTTTTATTTAAAATGCATCTCTGGGTTATTTGTGGGGCATAGGAATTCCTTCATTTTTTCCCCTTCAAAATATAGTCTGGCCCCCCCACAAGGTCTGAGGGATGGTGGACCGGCCCCCGGCTGAAATATTTGCTGACCCCTGAATTAGACGCTCCATCAGTACACTGCTCCCGTGTTGAATCTCCAGAGACACACTATTCATCTTTTTTTTATAACTTTATTGCAAAACACATATAACAACATGGACAAACAAAGACAGTACCTCAATGACAACTAAACATTAACAACACATCGTCTAACATCACACACACTTTTGACTTCCGATTCACCTCATTGTGCTTTCTACATATTCTTCACCTTTTCGCCTTTCCTGTTACATCTGTTACATGCAGACGAAAACTATTTTCAAGCTCCGAGGAAAATATTTCCGAGCCTTCTCTTAAGTGATGTTTTGCTTTCCCCAGTCGACAGCCTGCCATCCAGAGACCTTCACTTGGTTGCAATTGGACCTGTGCCAGTCGCAAAAGGCAACTGGCGCCTGGCCAGTTTTGAACACTGGAAGGGAGATATCCTGGGCCAAGGCCACCTAGGGCTTTTAAGATTTATCGCCTGCGCTTTTGACTTGTGCATGGAAGCCAGTTGGTCGCCAGTCAGGCTGCTTGCAAGATCCGTGTGACGCGACCCCCTGACCTTCCTTGCGCCTTCTCTCTCCTCCTTTCCAGCGGCCCCATGAGGACATACATCCTTGCCCACGAGGAAGCCATCCCGCTCTGGAGGTCTCTGATGGGTCCCACCAGGGTTTTCCGTGCCCAGCACACAGACCCAGAGTCCATCCGCGGGTCGTTTGGCCTCACGGACACCCGGAACACCGTCCACGGCTCAGGTGAGTCCGGGAGGGGCGGGAAATGGGGAGCAGGAGAACTTTGGACAAGCTCTCCAAGCAACTTGTAAAAGATTCCTTTGCAAAGGAGCCCCAAAGTCTGGGCCCAGCAAAGAGGGCTAAGGAACCGTCGTAGCCAAGGGAGCGGGATTGTACCAAGGGATCCTTTGGAATCCACCATAAGATTCCTTCGTTGCAGGGGGTGGGACTCTCCTGGTCTGCCCTGCAGAGGACCTTAAGGTCCATGAATAACCATAGTTTAGAGGTCCCGGGCCCTAAGGAAGTCAGATTATCCTCCACCAGGGCCAGGGCCTTCTCAGTGATGGCTCTGACCTGGTGGTATGCTCTGTCCCATGAGACCAGGGCCCTGCAGGATTTAATCTCCTTCCGCAGACAGAGCTATTCTGCCTGGCTTTCAACTTGAACTTAGCCTGATCTTTTATTCCCCTTCCTTCCCTCCCCCTCCCCTTTTTATGAAGATTACCCGCTCTGGGATCCCACAGCTAATTCTCCCCTGGTCTCCTCGCTGGCCCAAGTAGGACCAATTCAGCCAGCTAGTGATTTTGAACACCTTGAAATCGAAGTGGGATTTTTACCGGCTGCCGGTGCAGCCAGCTGATTTCGAATTCCGCTCCAAAGATCAGCCTGGCCCCTCACTCGCTCACATTTCCCCCCTCCCTTGCAGATTCGGCAGCATCAGCCAGCAGGGAAATCGCCTTCTTCTTCCCAGATTTCAATGAAGAGCAGTGGTACCAGCAGGAAGAGCCTCAGTTGCGGGAGAGGGAGGTTGGCCGTGACACCAAGGCGATCCCTCACCACGTGCCCAGAGATGGCTTGGCAGAGGCAGACTGAAGGACGCTTTGCACGGGAGACAGTGCTAGAATGGATGCAGGGATACTGCTATGGAGACGGGGGTCTCCTCCTCTCTTCCCCAAAATGAGCAGCAGCACTAAACATGTCGCCGCTTACTCAGGGATGGCTGCTGAGGTGTGTACGTCTCCCCCCTGGATAAGAGCAGACATCTGCCAGGCTGTGCCAGACAGCCAATTTATCGCTTGCCCAGGCTGGGTTCAAGGATGCCCATGATATGGGGGTCAAGTAGAAGCTCTAAATTTCTTATTGACTTTGTTGTTGTTGAGTCGTTCAGTCGTGTCCGACTCTTCGTGACCCCCTGGACCAGAGCACGCCAGGCCCTCCTGTCTTCCACTGCCTCCCACAGTTTGGTCAAACTCATGCTGGTCGCTTCGAGAACACTGTCCCACCATCTTGTCCTCTGTCGTCCCCTTCTCCTTGTGCCCTCCATCTTTCCCAGCATCAGGGTCTTTTCCAGGGAGTCTTCTCTTCTCATGAGGTGGCCAAAATATTGGAGCCTCAGCTTCAGGATCTGTCCTCCCAGTGAGCACTCAGGGCTGATTTCCTTCAGAATGGATAGGTTTGATCTTCTTGCAGTACATGGGACTCTCAAGAGTCTCCTCCAGCACCATAATTCAAAAGCATCCATTCTTTGGTGATCAGCCTTCTTTATGGTCCAGCTCTCACTTCCATACATTACTACTGGAAAAACCATAGCTTTAACTATACGGACCTTTGTCTGCAAGGTGATGTCTCTGCTTATTCACTTAAGCATGCCTTTTCTCTTGGTTGCAACTGCCATTTCCACAGGTCTGTGCCAAACTATGTACCCATGCCCACGTGCCGTCTTCACTGTGACCCACAAATTCCCAGTAACGTTTACCGGGCAAGGGAGGGGTGGGGTGCGTCATCAGGGTTTCATTGCCAAAGGGAGAGGTGCCTTGATTCAAGGTTGTCTGAAAAACATGATTCCTAAAAGCGATAAACTCAACTTTTGATCCAAAACGTGTGTCGGCTTCCTGTCGTTTCTTGGTGAAGATAAAGGCAGATCCTCTGCACATGCCCAGACGCACTCTTTCCTTTTTGTTTTCCATGGTAGAGAACCAACTCTGGAAACAAACTCAGGAGCTGAATCGCAGGCAGTCTTGCTGCTGTCGGGGGTGAGGCTGTGGCACAATGCTTAGAAAGTCCTGCTGGCAACCAGGTTAAGTGGAAGCGGCTTGGACACAAATGCAGAGATAAAAGTATAAGAAGATCCTGTTGGGTCAGTATCCCTGAAGGAGCATCTCAACTCCCGTCGTTCAGCCCAGACACTGAGGTCCAGCGCCGAGGGCCTTCTGGCAGTTCCCTCCCTGTGAGAAGCCAAGTTACAGGGAACCAGGCAGAGGGCCTTCTTGGTGGTGGCGCCCGCCCTGTGTAACGCCCTCCCACCAGATGTCAAGGAAATAAAACAACCTGACTTTTTTTCCTATATAATTTTTTTATAAGTTTTTTAACACATCATTTCCCACAGTAATTAAACATACTTTTACATCTTATACAATTTTTGACTTCCATCAATCTCGTCTGAAAATTTTCCAATGTAATCTCTTAGTATACATTTCTTACTTTCCCTATTACATTTAAGTCTCATAGCTGATATCTCCATTCTTTTTCTACTTTGTAACCTTTCATATATTTCTCCTTACAAAACTTCTTGTAGTCCTACCGGCGTAATTAAAACTATCTGACTTTTAGAAGACATCTGAAGGCAGCCCTGTTCAGGGAAGTTTTTAATGTTTGATATTTTATTGCTTTTATTATTATTAATAATATTCTGTTGAGAGCCGCCCAGAGTGGCTGGGGAAGCCCAGCCAGATGCACAGGGAATAAAGTCTTATTAGTAGTTCTGGTATTATTATTACCCATCTAGGGCACATTCTGTTCTCGCAGGGGCTTAACAGATGCCTGTCGGAAGCCTACAACAGGATCTGACAACGAGCCCTCGCCCCTCCTATGGTTTCCAGCATAACTCTCCAACTGTGGTTAGTAAGTGCTGATAAAACCTTTCCCTTGTGAAGCTGCCTCAACCTCTTTCAAAGCGGACGAAGTTGGTGGCCTCTGCTACGTCTTGTAAGAAGTGAATCCCGGAGTGCTTTGATTTAGGTACCTTTCAGTTTACACTGGGAAACAAAAAAATTGTTGCATTGGCACCTGCAGTTCTAACCTAATTTCGACGTGCTGATTTCAGATCTGAAGTTGGTTTTTGTTCTGTAAGCCCTAGTTTTTTTTGCAATTCATGTTTTTCACTTTTCACCATAATCTTTGTTTTTCACAATTCAAGTATTCAATATTTTATTAAACACATAGGCAAAATAGTACAATATGAGTATAAATGTAAATGGCTTATATAGCATTGAACATGACGTGTATAGCATTGAAAATGACATGTTTATCTAGGAGCAGTTGGAGGTATGCAAAAAAATGTATTCCCTTGTTTACACATTTTTGTCTACTTGAAGAAGCCATGGTCCGATCTGAAAAATACAAATATTTAAGTTACAAAACTATAAAAATAAAGAAAAATTAAGTTTGCAAAACAATAATTACCATGTGGTTAGGGTAGATCAACATGTCAGCGTCCACTTATCCCCAGTGTAAATATGACATATCGGCAAAAGTCGGAAAATTAAAGATAACTATAGCATGTACACGAAAATTGATTTCAGATTTGAAACTAGCATTGAAAGAACATATAAGAACAGTTGAAAAATCTCATGCAACAGAAAATGAAAAAAAAATTGTTCCCCAGTGTTATGGATGAATTAAGGAGAAAGCGAATGGAGAAAAAGTCCTCCCTCTCTCCTAACACAAGAACTCCTGGACACCCAACAAAGCTGAATGTTGGAAGATTCAGGAGAGGTAAAAGCAGCACATCGTCAAACTGTGGAACTCACTGCAGCAGGAGGCGGTGATGGTCACCAACTTGGATGGCTTTAAAAGAGAATTGGACAAATTCAGAGAGAAGCGGGAGAGGACAATCAATGGGTACTAGCCACAATGGCTCTGCTCTGCCCCACAGCTGGAGGCTGGAAACCACAGGAGGGGAGAGTTGTTCTTGCTTCCTATGATAGGCATCTGTTTGGCCACTGTGAGAAGAATAGGATGCTGGACAAGATGGGCCACTGGCCTGATCCAGCATGCTCTTATGTTCTTAATGAATAATTTTGTTTGTTTGTTTGTTTGTTTGTTTATAGCCCACCCATCTGGCTGGGTTTCCCCAGCCACTCCGGGCAGCTTCCAACAAACACTAAAAATACGCTAAAATCTCACACATTAAAAACTTCCCTGAACAGAGCTGCCTTCAGGTGTCTTCTAAAGGTCTGGTAGTTGTTTTTCTCTTTGACATCTGATGGGAGGGAGTTCCACAGGGCGGGCGCCACCACCGAGAAGGCCCTCTGCCTGGTTCCCTGTAACTTGGCTTCTTGCAGGGAGGGAACCAACAGGAGGCCCTCGGCGCTAGACCTCAGTGTCCGGGCTGAACGATGGGAGAGGAGACGCTCCTTCAGGTATACTGGACTGAGGCCGTTTAGGGCTTTCAAGGTCAGCACCAACACTTTGAATTGTGCTCAGAAATGTACTGGGAGCCAATGTAGGTCTTTCAGGACTGTTGTTATATGGTCTTGGCGGCCACTCCCAGTCACCAGTCTAGTTGCTGCATTCTGGATTAGTTGTAGTTTCCAGGTCACCTTCAAAGTTGGCCCCACGTAGAGCGCATGGCAGTAGTCCAAGCGGGAGATAACCAGAGCATGCACCACTCTGGCGAGACAGTCTGCAGGCAGGGAGGGTCTCATCCTGCATACCAGATGGAGCTGATAAACAGCTGCCCTGGATACAGAATTAACCTGCACCTTCATGGACACCTGGGAGTCCAAAATGACTCCCAGGCTGCACACCTGGTCCTTCAGGGGCACAGTTACCCCATTCAGGACCAGGGAGTCCCCCACACCCGCCCGCCCCCTGTCCCCCAAGAACAGTACTTCCGTCTTGTCAGGATTCAACCTCAATCCATTAGCCGCCATCCATCCATGAAAGGTACTGACATGTAAGGTGGGCTCAGAAAGATTCGGAATTAAATGTCTTCCTGATTTTAACTGCTTGGGGCTGCAAAAACCATGGTTTTCAAACACTTGGCTATTATGGTTCTGCAATACAACCATTCTGCTTGGCCCGAGGCTGCTGAGAAAGGCAGCCTGGATGAATTAGAATGGCATCTGCCAGAAGCTGATGGAGATTTCGGGGGCATGTCAGAAATCTGGAAGTTCCAGGGTGAAAAGTAATAAAAAGCAAATGACATTTCATCACTTGAAACAAGGGTGCACAACTCAATTATGTCAGCATTGATTTGGGTCAATTATGTCAGCACTGATGTGGGTCACAAGGGGGTTTAATAATGAACGCGCTACAGTCTCCTGAACGCCCTGCTGTGATTTCTGCTCCGTGGGGAGTGAACTGAATGACCGACGGGAGCAATAATGTAACTTCACACAGTTGCAAGATGAAAATGATGAAATTAATTGCATCTCTCATCAAAGGGTGCTTCTGACAAGGGCGCAACCGAACAGAGGCGCAGCGGTGCAGCCTGTCTCTGGCGAGCAAACTTTTAATGGCTCCCTTGGCCTCTCGTTTGATTGTTATGGAAAAATATCCTTGCTAACGAACCCCCGACGGCGATGCCAGCTCCTCCCCATAAGCGCACCCCAGTGATCTGCCCCATAGAGACACCTCCCGGCTTTTGGGTGCAGGTCCCGAGGGGACAGATTCAGCGATGGGAAATTCCATGCTGAAACCAAAGCTATTAAACTGCTATTTAGAATAACCAGTTAATGACGCCGGGGAAGAACTTTTAGAACTAAGATGTTCAGCAAACTCTTCTGGTTGATTTGCAAATGTTGAACTGGTTGCATGAATTGTTCGATGCAATACCACCTGGACTATTTGGAGACGGGGGCGTCAAGAAAGCTTCTCACGTGGTGGGGTTTGCTGCTTCATTTGACAATGTCCTGACTCAGTCCTTGAGTACAACAAAGTCCTTTATCATAGAATCGCAGAGTTGGAAGGGAACCCGAGAGTCATCTAGTCCAGCCCCCTTAAATGCAGGAATCTCAGCCATGACAGATGGCTACTCAACCTCTGCTTAAACACAGCACCCAGTTAAAGTATGGCACTTTTTGAAGGCCTAGATGGCTTTCAAAGGGGATTAGTTTAATTCATGGATGAGAGAGCTGTCAATGGCTACTATAATAATAATAATAAATAATAAATTTTTATTTATACCCCACCCTTCCCGGTTCAGAAAACCGGGCCCAGGGCGGCTAACAACAGATTTAAAACACTTAATTGATGCAACAACAAAAACAGCATAAAATACAGTATAAAACATGAATAACAATAAATTCAGAATTCAAAAATCAATTTAGGGGGGAAATCCAGCCAATAAACATTAGATGATCACCAGGTCTAGCTGGCTAAATTAGTCCTCTTTGGGCCAGTGAGGAGACCAGGGGAGAATTAGCTGTGGGATCCCAGAGCGGGTAATCTTCATAAAAAGGGGAGGGGGAGGGAAGGAGGGAAATAAAAGATCAGGCTAAGTTCAAGCTGAAAGCCAGGCGGAATAGCTCTGTCTTACAGGCCCTGCGGAAGGAAGTTAAATCCTGCAGGGTCCTGGTCTCCTGGGACAGAGCATTCCACCAGGTTGGAGCCATCACTGAGAAGGCCCTGGCCCTGGTGGAGGATAGTCTGGCTTCCTTAGGGACTTCTAAACTATGGTTGTTCATGGACCTTAAGGTCCTCTGTGGGGCAGACCAGGAGAGGCGGTCCCATAAATACGAGGGCCCTATGCCACAAAGGGCTAGCCTGCAATCCTCCTAGCTCAGTTGGTAGAGCATGAGACTTTTAATCTCAGGGTCATGGGTTTGAGCAAACCCACATTGAACAAAAGATTCCTGCATTGCCGGGGGTTGGACTAGATGACCCTCGTGGCCCCTTCCAACACTATCATTCTATGAGTCTTACCAGTTTCTGGAAGCTGCAGGATGGGAGGGTGCTGTTGTGGTCAAATCCTGCTCCTTTGGGGCACTGTGTTGGTGACTGAGAGCAAGATGCTGAACTAGTTGGGTCACTGGCCTGTTCCAGATTGTGGAAGTCAAAGGACGTTGCCTCTAGCAAAACAAAATCACATTTATGTTATTTATTTTTAATGAAAATGTTAGTTTCTGGTGCAGAATCAGCTTCAGGGGGAATGCAACATGCTTTCTCTATTAGGCATTGGATGTTCACATCATTGTGCCTGAAAGACACACCTATGTATTTATAAGCATTGATTGATTGATTGATTGATTGATCGATCAATTTCACAATATTTATACATTGCTTGGTTGCAATGGAAGCTCAAAGGAGTTTACAAGAAGGACTAAAGCAGCAAAATCCCTGATTATGAAATTAAATATTTGTTGTTGTTGTTGTTGTTGTTGTTTAGTCGTTTAGTCGTGTCCGACTCTTCATGACCCCCTGGACCAGAGCACGCCAGGCACTCCTGTCTTCCACTGCCTCCCACAGTTTGTCAAACTCATGCTGGTCGCTTTGAGAACACTGTCTAACCATCTCGTCCTCTGTCGTCCCCTTCTCCTTGTGCCCTCCATCTTTCCCAACATCAGGGTCTTTTCCAGGGAGTCTTCTCTTCCCATGAGGTGGCCAAAGTATTGGAGCCTCAGCTTCAGGATCTGTCCTTCCAGTGAGCACTCAGGGCTGATTTCCTTCAGAATGGAGAGGTTTGATCTTCTTGCAGTCCATGGGACTCTCAAGAGTCTCCTCCAGCACCAGAATTCAAAAGCATCAATTCTTCGGCGATCAGCCTTCTGGATGGTCCAGCTCTCACTTCCATACATCACTACTGGGAAAACCAGAGCTTTTACTATGCGGACCTTTGTTGGCAAGGTGATGTCTCTGCTTTTTAAGATGCTGCCTAGTTTTGTTTATATATATATAAATTATTAAATATTTCTTACTGGGCTGTTATGTTAACTTGGTTTTCAAAAAGTCTTGATTTTCTTTATTTTTAAAGTGCACCCACAGGCCTTAATTCTAAGGAGCAAAAGAGTTAATTCAATAAAACATACCTGATATGCTCTTCCATATTTTAGGGCCAAGTGAGTTCCACAACTTCCCTCTTCCCCCAGCATAGGAAAAGACCACACGTTTGGTATGTTTAAAAAATGATTTACTTACTAACTCTTAAAAGGTCAGGTTCCTGTGCTTTTACATACATCAGCCAGAAAAGTCGCACAGGCAGTAAAAAATTGTTTTTCTACAAAATGATGGCAGTTCCTAAATGATGGGCATAGGAACTCAAGAGTGGTTTGAGAGAGAGATGTAAACTGGAGGAACCAGCTCAGACCTCCTCACACATTGAGCTTCTCAGATACACTGAAGGAGAACAACAACTTGATTACCTAGTTCCTCCCCAGATGAGGGGAAGTGGACAGAGCTAAGCCTGGCAGGACAGTTTACTCTATGGTATTAACCCCTTCATGCACTAATTAGACTTAAGCATGTTGGTTATATGAGGCTGGTTGTCATACAAGTTGGAGGCCGTACTACTTCTGAACACCAGTTTCTGGAAACCAGAGGAGAAGACAGTGCTCATGTACTCATGTTCTGCTCCCTGATTTTCCAGAAGAGGCATCTGGCTGGCCATTGTGAGAATAGAATGCTGGACTAGATGGGCCATTGGCCTGATCCAGTTGGCTCTTCCTATGTTCCTATTTGCTTTAATTTATTTTGAACTGTTCTTAATGCTGTATTTTATATTGCTGAAGCCCTCACTGGGGCCTTCTGGAGAAGGCTGGGTAATAAATCTGTTGAGGAGGATAAGGATGATGACATCTTCTGGAGAACTTCGTCTACTTTATGATGGGTCCCGCTGACATCAATTCCACTGGGCTGTGTGCGTTTCCCCAGATTTCTCACCTCCGCTGGCAACGGGAGCATGTTTCCCCTGGGCCACACAAAGCATGAAATATCTGCTCCAGCTCTTAGCAGCTTCACAGCTCAGGGAGCACAGGACCCGATTCCTGACCTTGTGCAGGTAAGACGAGGGCAGCGATAGGGGGCTGCTGAGGTGAACTTCTGGCCAGGAGTCTTGGGGAAAGCTGGGATGCTGTTCTCACCTCCTAAGTGTCATTTGCAGTGGGGAAGTCTTTGTGCGCACACAACTGAAGGATCTAAGCCAGGCCCAGATTTAGGTTTGATGAGACCCTAAGCTACTGAAGGTACTGGGGCCCTTGATATCTCCAGCTATCCTTTGTCAACAACAAATGGTCACAGTTTTTTGTGTTGAATGTATGCTATATGATAATTGATGGACCTAATAGGTATCTAAAGCCATTTGCACATGTGGCCATGCAACAAGTCCATGCAGAATGTTGTTGTTGTTTAGTTGTTTTGTCCTGTCCGACTCTTCATGCCTCCCTGGACCAGAGCACGCCAGGCACTCCTGTCTTCCACTGCCTCCCACAGTTTGGTCAAACTCATGCAGGTCGCTTCCAGAACACTGTCCAACCATCTCGTCCTCTGTCGTCCGCTTCTCCTTGTGCCCTCCATCTTTCCCAACATCAGGGGCTTTTCCAGGGAGTCTTCTCTTCTCATGAGGTGGCCAAAGTCTTGGAGCCTCAGCTTCAGGATCTGTCCTTCCAGTGAGCACTCAGGGCTGATTTCCTTCAGAATGGAGAGGTTTGATCTTCTTGCAGTCCATGCAGAATGTAGGCACCCTATATATATAGAAATGAGCAAGTGTGTGATATTTTTGGGAGCAGGCTAGCAGGGAAGGCCCATGACTTACATCATAGGAGCCTACACAACACAAAACACTGTTGCTGTATCTAGGTTTTATTTTATTTGCTTTTATATTTTGGAAATGTACATCCAGGTTTTTTTTCCTTTAAAATTTTTTAAGAGAGGGGGCGCCTAAGCTATAGCTTGTTTAGCTTACACGTAAATCTGGCACTGATCTAAGCGGATCCTTGGATGGCTTTCAAAGAGGATTAGACAAATTCAGGGAGGAGAGGGTTCCTCATGATTGCTAGCCAGGATGCCTAAGCGCAGCCTCCACAGTTGCAGGCAGCGATGCTTCTGAACACCAGTTGCTGGAAACCACAAGAGGGGAGAGACTGCTCTTGTGTTCAAATCCTGCTTGCTGGTTTCCCACAGGCATCTAGCTGGCCCCTGTGAGAAGAGGAGGCTGGGCTCGATGGGCCATTGGCCTGATCCAGCCGCCCCTTCTGATGGGAGTTATAGTCCAGCAACACCCGGAGGGCACATCTTTGATCAAGGGTTTTCTCCAGACAAGCTGTTTATTGTGTGTTCATCCTACTTTGGCTGCAGAAAAGCATATGCAGAGGTCAGATTATATGCTGGTCTTTATGGAGCGTTTGTTCTGGTTTGCTTTAGCAGGGCGTTGGCATGGCAATTCTCATTCGCCCTGACTTCCCTGCTGCATGTTTATGCATCTTCCTGTTAGACACTCATTCCCCTCCTTTCCCCCCCTCTGTACTGCCCTATCGGTTTCCAAACCTCAGCTTCTTCTTTAAAGATAAGATAAACTTTATTCGCATTAGCCAACGGCCACGGCAACATAAGGGACACGGGGGGCGCTGTGGGTTAAACCACAGAGCCTAGGACCTGCCGATCAGAAGGTCGGCGGCTAAAATCCCCACGATGGGGTGAGCCCCCGTTGTTCGGTCCCTGCTCCTGCCAACCTAGCAGTTCAAAAGCACGTCAAAAGTGCAAGTAGATAAATAGGTACCGCTCCGGCGGGAAGGTAAACGGCATTTCCGTGTGCTGCTCTGGCTTGCCAGAAGTGGCTTAGTCATGCTGGCCACATGACCCGGAAGCTGTACGCCGGCTCCCTCGGCCAGTAAAGCGAGATGAGCGCTGAAACCGCTGAGTCGGCCATGACTGGACCTAATGGTCAGGGGTCCCTTTACCTTTACTGCAACATAAAACAAGCAATATATACAAATAAAAAGACCACAATGGGTAAAAAGGGCAATCAAATGACCAAGATTATTGTTTAGATAGTGGCCCTTAATCTCACTGCACCCTCGATAAACCTAGCAACCTTTGCTGTTGTCTGATCATTTTGATCTGATAAAAGAAAAAACAATGTGGCCGCAGATGGGCAGTCTGGGATGGTAAGGAAGAGTGAGGTGATGATCTCATTCCTCAGATCTTTGCAAAGGGGGCAGGACAGGAGAACACGAGCCACTGTTTCCAGATGGGGCAGAGCCGTTTTTGAGTTGGAATCTTTTGGTATCTGCCCTCAAGTACGGCAGAGGGCATCACATCCAATCTGACCAGTGTGAAGGCACGTCTGTATTTTGGGATAGTTAATTTATACAAATATGGTGCCAGGAAATCAAACTGGGGGGGGGGGGAGGCATACCAAGGACAGAATTTCTTTATAATCTTCTTTAAAGTGGATGAGTTGTGCTGGGGCAACCAAGTGCTTTAATCCACTTTAATTGCACAGATTTAAATTCAGGGTCTGTGCTTTAATCCCTCCTGCAAAAGAGCAATAGTCTGGAGATGCCCTTGAAGCAGCCTTCATCCATTTAGCACCCTCCAGATGTTTGGGACTACAACTCCCATCATCCCTGACTACTGGTCCTGTTAGCTAGGGATGATGGAAGTGGATGAAGGCTGCCTCGGAGCAGGGTTTCCCAAACTTAGGTCTCCAGCCATTTTTGACTACAACTCCCATCATCCCTGACCACTGCTCCAGCTAGCTAGGGATGATGGGAATTGTAGTCCAACAACAGCTGGAGACCCTGCCTTAGAAATCCTGCATCTGAACCTTTTTCCAGTCCACGTTTTTCTTACCTCTGCCTCTAGTCGTGACATGGTAAATGTCTTGTTCATTGCAAATAACATCTTATCTT